GGGTTGGTGGTTTGGCACAGCGCCACCCTGGAGGAGGTGAGCTGATGAATAGTGTCTGAGAGGACAGGCCACACGCTGTCTAATCTGATCTCCACCACAGATGGGCCGGTCCATTCCCCATCACTCATCACCTCGCTACACTGGATCTCACCAGAGAGGACAGTATGCCCCTGTATTTGATGGAGGTGAATGGTGCTCCTGTAGTGCTGACCCAGTGTGTGCCGGGCCGCGCTCTCTCACCAAACCCCATGTGTGCTTTCAGTGCTGTCACTGAGAATCCTTCACAGCAGGGGTTTATGACCAGACATCCCCCAGAGTGAGATTCAGGTGGCCAAGAGTGGCTTGTAACCATTAAAATGTAATATTCACCTACTGTTAAGCATGTTGTAAATCTCTTAAAGGGATAGTTCATTCGGTATCGTTTACTCACTCTTATGTTGTTCCGTATAATTCAGTGTTGGAGAAGCTATTGTGAAACCGTAATGTTCTTTAGCTTCATTTAGGTCAAGCTACTGTTGAAACAGTATTTTGCTACACTACAAAGTAGTAACAAAAAGTAGCTAACTACTGTACATTGATACTGTTTAAAGGCAAAACAGTGTTTTGTTTTTTAATAATGAGAATGGCAGTATTAAACATTATAGATAAATTGACGCTAAGTACAACTACAAAGTTAAAACACAGCTTGGATTATTTTGAACATTTAAATGAATGGCAGGATTTAAAATATATTTGAAGAGTTCAGATGCAAAAGTTTTAAATGTTCTTCTAAAATGAGCATTTTTCTCAGGCTCCTATGTGTAGGTTCAGTATTTTCACTTTAATGGCAATGAATAAGTTATTTTCATTGCCATTAAAATGAAATAACTGAACATAAACATATGTTGCTTGATAAAACTGCTCATTTTAGAAGAAAATTTTAAACGGCACTTAGAGGCTTTTGCATCTGAAATCTTCATTTTTACAATAAAAAAGAAGAGCTCAAATGCAACAGGGACTTCTGTGCAGAATTGTGAGTCAGTTGTTTTGTTTTGTTTTGTTTTGTTTTGTATTTGTTGTTTTGTGAATTTGCCTGAGTCATCCAAAGGAATAATTTCTTATGAATGCTGTAAGAGACAGTAGCTATGTTTCCATCACCCTGTTTTTATGCGCATTTTGAAGTATCGCATCAGAAACGAGTGATGGAAATGCCAAATTTCGAATAAAAATCCCTTAATTTGCAAAAAAGTTTTTTCGCTCGCTTAAGGTGGTTTTTGACTAAGGGCGAAAAAGGGTTAATGTGAATAATGGGAGATGAAAAACACACTTGCCGAATAAATTCCTCAAAATCATGTGACTTTGCGCTATGGGACGGCAAAACCTGACTAACCAGCGGGCCGATCTTGTTCCACAGCATCTGAAATGTTGTTATGGTCATTTTGAAATGCCAGAGAAAAGTCTGTCATCAAAGTATTTCTGTATAATTGCCTCCCAGAGCTGTTACACGAATATATTCGTTTCGTCTGCTCGCTCTGAAGTGCAAGTCATTTATTATATATGAAAATTATTATATTCTCCTACTTTTCTTAGTGATAAATAGTGCCAGCTTACAAGGAAGTGACGATTTTGTTCTCTTTGACTCATTGGATGGAAACAGTGCTTATTCGCAAATGTTTTATGCGATTTTTCAATTTTGCGCATAAGTTAAATTCGCAACTTCGAATGTAAACCCGGCTAGTGAGAGAAATTTTAATCATTACTCTCTTTGTTTCCATCCAATATAGCTCTCAGATCTCATTTGTGTGAGTGTACATGGTACATTAAAACATGTCACATCAGGTTTAGCATCTTGTGAAAGTCTCTAATATATCTTTATTTCAATCAAATCAAAAAGGTCGCCGGTTCAGCTCTCAGAGCAGATGGCAAGGGAGTTTCTGTGTCAGTCCGAGAGTGAGCGCAGGCCAAATCAAAAGTTGACAAAATTTTGAATCGTTATTCTCTTTAAATGTTGCCATCTGATAGAGCACATTCACATTAGCATACGTAAAAGTATGGTGCATTAAAACATAGCACATCTCAATTAGAATATTGTGAATGTTTGTAAAATCTGTTTATTTGAATCAATTTCATTTAATTCATTAAAATTTAATATATATGTAAACGCATTGGGAAACTGCTTTGCTGGTGGTGCATTATGCTACTTAACTATTAACATTTCCTATGCAGTGCATTACTCATTCAAGTTACTCATCCAAAAAAAGAAAGCTTTCTCATTTCACACATTATGTGTAGCTCAAGTATAGTGCATAAATGAAAAGAGAGGCCCTCAAAACAAAATATTGAATGCAGTTTTGCCAGAAGCACACTCAAACACACACTGACTCACAGCTCATGAATATGGAGCTCTGCATTTGTGAGGTCAAATGGTCTTCATTTTGAATCTGTGAAAAAGTTTGAGAGCCATTACCATGGAAAGTCAGCAGGAATTCTCTACTGGTTTTAAAATATAACCCACTGTATTCAAAAACTGAAATACATTTTTCATATTCTTTCATTTACACTACAGAAGCAAAGCAAGGGACCATTTCCCTCTTAGTTTAGAGTGCATGCTCATGGTCAAGAAATGTTTTCAAAAGATGCTCTCTTTTCTTTTTAATCTTCTTATTTGAACTCTTCTAAAAGCTGGAAGCCAGATTTGTTATACTGAAGGTCACTGGACATTTAAACACACCGCACACAAATGCACACACGCATACACACACACTACCAGCACTTCCCCCCAAGCATGCCCTCAAGCTTTTGATCAGCGAGACACATGTGGAAAAGAAATGGTGATCAAAGGCCAACGGTAAAGAGGAGGTGCTTTCCTTTTCAGCCAGTGCTAACACTGTTAACACTGAACCAGAAGGTTTTTTTTTTTTGTCTCATTTATGTGTATCAACATTTCATTAGTAAAGGCTCTAAGACCTTTACTGAAATGACCATAAATTAATTTGATTTGGTTATAACTGTTTCAGATTTTATAAAAAAATAAAAAATAAAATCAGCAATTACCCTCGCACACCTGTAGGTAATTGATAGGTGCATAGGAAAAACGACCAAAAGCAGGTCCAAATTCAAAACAAAAAATAATAAATCCCGCACAGTATTCGTCCTTGCAAATTTATCAAAATATAAATGTATTCACTCACAATGTTACGGTCCATGACCTTCATCAGGCATGTTGAATAAATAAGGGAATAAAAATAAAATAAATGTTATAGAATAAAAAAGGGTGGTTAGCATGCAGGATTTATTCTTTTTTGTAAAAAAAAATAAATAATAAATAAAAAATCCAAAATAGTTTGTTGTAAAATCAAAAATATTTATACATAACACAAATATCCTAAATATGTTAACATAACACAACATAACATAACAAAACATAACATAATTTAACAAGTCAGACACTGAAAGAAACTAGTAAAGTAAACTAATTTATTTGTAAAATGTATAGAAAAACGTGAACTAAATGAAAATTAGGCATTGCCTTGGCAACTAAGTGAAATAAGTTCAGTTGAAGCACTATAATTACTAACTGAAAATAAATTAAAGCTGAAACTGTATACTATAACTAATAACTAATTAACTGATTAAAACTAAATAGTAATATTTAAAAAAAATGCACATAAAAAATTACTAAATTAAAATGAAAACTGAAAATATAAAATGTATAGCTAATTCAAAATATTAATAAAAACTATAGTAGTATATAAATAATACTAAAATAACACTATGTAGTCAAACATTGACATTACAAACATTACTTTTTCCCCAGTTTTTATTTTTTATTTTTAATAGTTTAAGTTAATAATAACACTGGGTCCAGGCTAGTTTGGTGCTGGTCTAGCTAGTGGAAGTAGCTAGTAGCCAGTGAAGTCTGGTGGTTAAGTTAAAATGGAATGTCCTTACAAGAATTAACCATGGTTTTACTGGATATAAAACAAAACAAACAAAAAAAACTATAAAAACAAAACTATAGTTAAACCATGGTAACCTAAAAGTAACCATGGATTCACTATGCTAACCATAGTTTAACCGTGGTATTTATAGTAAAACTGTGGTTTTACAAATGGTAATCAATACACCAAAAAACATGGTTACTACCCTTTTACTAGAATACATGATTACATGGTTTTCATAAGGGTGTCTCTGGACAGGAAAATATCTAATTAAAAAATGCATATGATAATAAGTACAGAGTGTGTCATTTTTGTTGCAACATTTCTATCCATAGCTCAGCTTTTGATGCTGTTTCCCTAGTGTTCTTTCGCTAACATGATAAATCAAAAAGCAGCAGCCCAGCCATCAAACTCAATGATGCTCAATAAAGCTATGACCTTAGCACGCATCCTGACTGACGTGGCTTCTGATTAGTCTATTTCAAATCATCTATATTTATAACTCCAAAGGACAGACCAAAGTAGTTTATTTTTGTGTAATAAAAACAAATCTCTAGCCTTCAGAGGATAAATTAAGAGAACATTAAATACTCATCAGCACACGTCTGTTCACCAAATTTCCTTCCTTCCTCTGTCTCCGCAGGTATAATTGGCGAACCACAGAGTGGAGCGACTGCAGGGTGGATGTGCTCCTCAGCCAACAGGACCGTCGCCGGAGCAACCAGACAGGGCTCTGCGGAGGCGGGGTTCAAACCAGGGAGGTCTACTGCGTTGAAGCCCCCACTGAAACCTCATCTAACCTCAGCTCCCTCAAGAACAAAGATGGTAACAAAACTATCGAATTCAGTGTCTTAACCCTCTGCTTGTGGTTAATGCACTTGCTGGTTTAACGATATGTCCCGAACCCATTCTGATCTCTCTCCCCAATCATTTCCTGTCACATTCTCACCAATTATTTGAACTTGATGCAAGTCCCACACGCAGTGTATGCGAGCACACAAACACTTTCCATTCTTTGAATATAACTGAATCCAGATGATTTAATAGATAAAAATTAGGATTTGGCAATCGTTCTTTTACTAGTGAGAACAGGGGCTGCAGTCAGTACCATCTTACATTTGTTGTGCATGTATTTTTTATGCTAGCGTTAACATTAAAACAAGTTCATCCATGTGCTCAACTCAAAACTTGCCAAGACTCATATTGTGAAGATGGCGCAGTCTCTTGAATTAGAGCCCAGCTTCCAAAAATGTTCCCAGTTGGTGCTGACATCAACAGTATGGCAGCATATGATTATGGCAATATGATTTAAGCATTTCAGTGAATTTGTGAGATATAATGATAGTTATTATTCTTGCATGAATTGAGAATAAATAAATAAATAAATAATGCAAATGAAGAGCAATTATATAAGTGTGATATGTTGCTTAAATCAGGGATTTGTGTCACGGGATGTACTTTTCAGTTATACAGTTTGTTTATTATTTGAAAATTTGCTTTGACGTTTTCGGAGATGTGAGCTCCAGGCGTCAGTTGCTGTTCAGCTCTCATGAACCCATCGAGAACAGCCTTACCTCGGCCAGTTCTGGAATTTGCCACTGATTATGATTTCTCTATAACATGAGCTATAATTTGTTTTGGGTAAATCTAACGGGCAGTCTTTGGTATTAATCTATTTGTTCCAGAGCAAAGTTTCATATTTTTATATATTTTAATGCTGTATCAGAGCACTGCCTTGTATTTTTGACTGAATTCATTAGCAATTGCCAAGTTTTGTCATGAGACACTAGATGGCGCAGGCTGATGGGTCCTTTACGCAAACTGATGAGATTCACAGCTACTTGTCACAAGCTGATTGGTTCATGTTGCATACACAGTCAATGAGCTTACTGCTTTACATTTCAATGGCTGGTTAGCATTCACAAGAGCAGTTCCCAGTGCGCTTTCAGAGTTCCTCTGAAACCTTCCACCTCCCCAGCTCCACCTGTATAGATCTGCTATGGGTTATTATATATGCTATTTGTCCAGCAGCTAGTCTTAAATACTCATTTGGTATTTAGAAACGCTCTGTGTGTTAGTGATGGTTATTTTGTCTGAATCACAGCAGTGCTGATATAGAGCAATATCGCACGGCTACTCATGTGATATTTGATAAAAGTTTGTGTGACTAACATGCTTGATGCTAAGTTATATTTGGTAAAATCGTCTTTCTGTTTTTGGCTCTGGTCACCTCTGCCCCACTACAGACTTACAGGCTCACTGTGAGCTGTTAGACAAAGGTCAGTTGATGTTTGTACTGTGGTACACAATTCAAGCCAACATATAATTGGATTGCTTTTTAAAGGCTGAAATTAGATCACCAGGGGGAAATTAAGCAATAAAGAAGGCAGAGCTGTACAAATGAATGAGGCAGCTACTGTGGAATTTAAATGCTGATGCTGTCACAGACATACACACAGGTGCACATACACCCAAACACAAATTCTCTCTGGAGTAATACAACAGAAACAGGGAGGTGCCAGTGCCTCATGCCATGCGCCGGGGCTGGTGCTGAGCCTGCGCTCACTCTCGGACTGACACAGAAACTCCCTTGCCATCTGCTCTGAGAGCTGAACCGGCGAACTCTCAGGGAACTTATTCAAATGTCCACAGCTGTCCTCAAGCAGTCATTGCCTGGTATGGCTTGGTCACACTACAGACAGGAAGACAAAGCACACAGAAAGCAGCTTGCCTTTTGAACTGAAACAAATAGGCTAAAACTCACAATGGTGTATTTAACAGCTATTGTAAGCCATGATTTTACTTTTAAAAAAATGCCTGTGCTGATCTGCTGACGTTGTCTATTGAGGATTATGTCTTTCAGCTGAGCAACATAGACATCTTGTAGTCAGTGTAGTCAATTTTTGTTGTCAGTATGCCGTTATTTTTTTGTATGAAACACTAAAAATTAATTTTTAAGGAATCCTAACCTACCGTAGTCAAGATTTGAAGTGGATCAAAAAAGTTGACTAAAATTGTCCTAATACAAGAACGCATTTTGGTTTTAGGTTTTAGGACAACTTTGATGAAAGGTTTTGATCCACTTCAAATGTTGACTACTGTATATATTTTCTACATAACACCAAGTTCATTGAGAGCAGATCAATTGATGACCATTGGTGTTGAGCACAGTTGATAGTTTGGCTGTTGAAATTGGTAAAGATCTGTAATGCATGGACTTAAATGTGTAAATAAATAATGGCAAATTTTCTTTGTCTTTACTAGTGAATTCATAATTATTTTAGATATTATAATTTTATAATATCTGGAATCACCGTGAAACTGGTTTGAAAATGTTTTTTTTTTTCTTATTCTTATTAACAGGTGCTGCTTAATATTTTTGTGGAAATCAGAATATATTATTTTATTTTATTTATTTTCAGAACACCATCAAATTATTTTGTAAGAATATAGTCTTTACTGTCATTATTGATAAATGTAATACATCCTTGCTGAATAAAAGTATTATTATTTTTTTATTGTTAAAAAAAAAAACTGACCCCAAATTTGTACACTGTAGAAATCATATAAACTATAATACTGACAATATTTAGTGAGACAACAACAATACACCCAAAAAGTGCACACGCAATTCGTATCTTTTGTTGTGCATTTTGGTGAATCAGGACCTTGGTGTCCAGCCTCCTGTCTGTGAGGAAGTTCTGCTAGACAGTGCTGGAATCCCATCCGTAATGTGGTCTTAAGAGAAGCACATGGCACTGACTGCAGCTTCCTGCTGGGGGAGGTGACAGGCCTGGCGCGCTGACGGGTCACACGGTGACAGATGGAAGAACTGTGTGAGATAAAGAAAAGGAAAAGTGAAAGAACACCTGCACACTCTCACACACACCTCAAGCTTTTCCACACCTGGTCCAGCTCTGTCTCATGCTCTTTTTTGAATAGTTTTTTTTCTCTCTTTTGGTTTCCTTTGTTTTACCCATCATCTGTCTCAGCAAACATTGTTATATGTGAATTACATACAATTAATTTGATTAATTAATCTGCGTATCACATAATTAATTCAGTTTTTTTATTATTGATTGCCAGCCCTACTATTTTCCTCATTTTCCTGGTTTCATTTTAATCAATGAAGAATCAATCAGCCACTTTTCCCCTCAGGGAGTTTCAGACAGATTTGAGAGGATTTAATTTCAAGCTCCACATGATTGGACATTTCCAGGTGATTTGCCACTGGGCCTTTGGAATTATTCACAGGTATTTATATACATTAATGCCAGACAATGAGAGCATCAGGAGCGGTGGTTTACTCAAGGACAGACACCGTGTGCTTTATGCAGATTTAATCTGGTCATTCAGTTCCAGGGATCATAGCTAAATCCTCTGTAGAAATTAGACAACTATGTTTGTCTGCACTCTATTTCAGTGCAATGTGTGATGCCAGGACATATGAAACTTTGATACTTAAGGCATGTCCCACAACTTTATCTACCATTCGTTTTTTAAGGCAGCAACATAGCTACTTTTATATTAACCATCACACATTTGATTGTAATTGTCAAAATTATGATCTCACAGTATCTTCTACTTCCCTTTGAAGGGATAGTTCACCCAAAAACAAAAATATTGTCATCATTTACTCACCCTCATTTTGAGTTTCTTTCTTCTGTTGAACACAAAAGAAGATATTGTTTTCATGAATGTTGGTAACCAAACATTTGACAGTGGCCATTGACTTCCACAGTATTTTTTTCTCCATTCTAGGGAAGCCAATGGAACCTCATACAGGTTTGTAACAACTTGGGAGTAAATGTTGACAGAGTTTTCATTTTTTGGTGAACTATCCCTTTAATTTGTATAGATTAAAATATTAAATTTAAATACACCCTTTTATTTCACAGCTGTGTCACTCTTTGTCAACATTTTTTTTGTATTTTATTTTAGAATTTTAATATTATTGTGTTGTGTGTGCAGAGATGTGTTGAAACTAAACAGTTTGAAACTGTAGTCTTGCATGAAGGTATTTCACATTATTTATGCATTTATTTTTGTGTCTGGCGGTGTTAACTCATATTAAATGAAATGCAAGGAAGTGGAAATGGAAGCAGTAGATGCACATGAACATACCTCTGAATTTACATTCCCCCCCAAACTGTTATTTTTCAGTTTTGTGTTCTGTTTTGCCAGTAGTAAAGAATCAGTGAAATATATTGTTTCCACGAACGTGAAAGCTTTGTTTGCATTCCAAATTCATTTTCAGTCATTTTGGGATTATGGATTCCTAAACCCGTGTAATGAATGCCAGAATGGCACTGAACACAAAGTATGCATTTTACATATCAAAAGCAGCTTGTTGTCTTCCTCTCATGCCAATGGTGCTTCCCATCCGGCTTCCTGCTCTGCTGTCTGGGCCTGGGGAAGCTGTGCTTGATTTCCTCTCCCCACGGGTGGCTTCAGACATTTATACAACGGGGAAAGCAGCTGCTGTTGCGATCTTTATCCATTAACACATCTCAGTCACAGAGAGCAGAACGCAACAACAGTGTTCATTCGTTTCGGCTCGGCCGTGTCGCTGTCTGGAATAAAATCAATGTTGCACCCCGTCGTGGATCTTTATGAGATATTCAACACAGTGGCTTTGTTACAGAGCATCCATGCAGCACCGCCCCACAGGCAGGCCCGAGTTTTTGATGATGATGATGATGGTGATGCAAGCAGGTGAATGTGTTGGCGGCTGTCAGACGGACAGAGGGACTGATGGGATACTGGTGCCATAATTAGGCCGGGGAAACCCTGGGTGGGCAAGCAGCAGACCATCTGGCCTCCAAGCGAGTGTTGTGCCACCTGAACAAGGTCAACCTACAAGGAGAGGGTCATTAATCAGGCTGGGTTAACAGGGCAGCGAAACGTGAGCCGCTGAGACAGGAAGTCAGACAGGTTTTTGCCCACCTCAATACCTCAACAGCACAACCACGTCCTAATAAGAAATACGGAGCGCATGGAGACAAGTCTGTTTGTGGGAATAAGGGAACTTGCATTTGCAAGTCAATTTGACGTTTTTTGCAAATCAATTTTGTCTATTTGACAGCTAATTTCTTTTTTTGACATGTCTCTTTTGGAAGTAAATTCAGCATGCTAATTTGAGCATTTCTGCGGATGTTTGCCCCAGAGGAGCACTTCACCAAAAAAAAACCTTTTAATTTCTGTTTTAAACAAGCTCATATAAATCATTAATGACTCTGGCCATGCAATCAATCACTTAGATCGCACTGAAAATCTACACACACACAAAACACATAAACTGAATGATTTTAGAAATGGCTCAGGGCGCACAGAGAACACCTTTTGGACACGAAGCAATTTGCATGTGAATGAAGAGAAGACAGGTCAAAGGGTATCGGCAGCAGATCTGTTCACGCACTGACCTTGCAGAAAGTCACCTACGGCTCGGAGCTGAAAGCACAGTTGCACTGAGTGCTGGTTACAGATAAAAAGAAAACAAGGACGAAAGGGGTCTTGGGAGATGTCTAGAAAAACATGTGCAATCAGGAGCACTTGTTTATGAGAATGATGTTCATCATGTAATTTTATCTCTTCATGTTCGAATTTTCAGACATATTGAAATGTCCAATGCAACACAGTTCAACCAACATCATTTCCCGCACCTATTCCCCCATCATTTTTAGATTTATATATATATATATATATATATATATACAGTATATATTCAATGTGTCCTTGCTGAATTAAAGTTATATTTATATTTAACTTTTATTCAGCAAGGACACATTAAATTGATCAAAAGTGACAGTAAAGACATGTATAATTGTATTTAATGTTAACTAATATATTGAAATGCTTCACATTGCCTTTTAAGGTACTTTAAGTCCACCATCATTTTTACATTACATTTAGAAAAAAAAAGAAAAACTTCTTAAAAAATAGTATTCAATATATACACTATACCATTTTTTAAATAAATGAATGCTTTTTTTCAGCAAGGACACATAAAATTGATCAAAGGGCATTTATAATATTCTAAAAGATTAATTCTAAGAACCCTGAAAAAATTATAATAATACGAATTTTTTTTTAGCACTAAATCGCCATATTAGAATGGTTTCTATAGAATCAATGGATCATTTAAAATATATATAAAAAAATAATAATTAATTATAATATTGCAAAATACTACTAATTTGACTTTATTGTTGCCTTTGTGAACGTAAGATACTTCTTTCAAAAACAAAATCTTATGGAACTTTTGTGCGTGTGTATAAATTAAATATCTGAAATAGTTTTGGACATATTATTTAAATCATATACCTGTATGAATGAGCTGTATATTCTTATTCCATTTGCGGTACATCTATTTTTATAGGGACTCTGTAACAATGTGTGTCTGTGTCTCCTCAGGCTTGCGGCCAGTGAACAGTGACCTGTGTCTGGGCGTTTCTCCTAACACCACCCAGCTCTGCCATATTCCCTGTCCTGTGGAGTGTGAGGTGTCCTCCTGGAGCGCATGGGGGCCCTGCACCTTTGAAAACTGTCAGGATCAGTCCACAAAGAAAGGTAAGCTTGAACTACAGGACCACTTCATCTTTTACAGTTGTGTTTGGGGAGCGGTCGTTTCACCCATCTCGCTAAAACAGGGTAGATCAATAAAACGTCCTCTTTCATTGTAAATCACTTGAATTGTGTACGGGAAGCCTTTCAACACTCCGCCCCAGCTCTCACCTCTATCTGCGCCATCAGCATCCGGGCCATAAACTTATCAACGCCTGCTGGGCAGAAGATTAATTTTCTCAACGGTTTATGAACCAGGAGCATTGTAGAGGGAACAACAAACAAAAGGGGATCACAGAAAAATAAAACATGTCAGGAAATAGACAAAAGACAAATCAAGGGTTAGATGGCTTCAAAGAGACACTCACAAGCTTCAGATCTGCTGGATTCACAGGATGGTGGTTTACCGAATGCTGCTGACAGTTGGTATCATGTATCAAAGGTGCTGGCACGCTGACTGCTTTCCTTGTTAATTATGGCTGGGACAGCGACCCGTGCCATGACTAATGCATATTGACTCTTCCTTAATGAAGCGACTCAAAAGGATGGGATGGGAGGAAATTCTCCACCATGCATCTTAATGATGGATTCTCTGTGAATCTGTGTTCCACTCTCTCTTTTCAAACGCCCACAGTTCATACTTCATGCCATATAGCTGTAATGGCAGGTCTCAGCACTTTTGTATGTACAGTATGTGGGCTCTCATTATTCAGGGAGATGTGGCGAAAGGAGTGAAGGCTTCTTTTTTATATACATACAGTATCTCCCGCACAAGGACAGTATAGAACAACATGGTGCTACAACATGAGTGCTTATTACATTAACAAAACACATCCGTGATCATTAGCTTTAGGGCCATGGATATAAAATCTGTATTGAGGCAAAGTTGGGCAAAAATTTCAGTTGAATTGCTGATGAGATTTTTGTGCGGCTGTGCCTTTTGTCTATTTTTGATTAACAGGGGCTCATATAAAACCCAGTATCGTGCCTTTGTCTGATAAAGAGACAGAGGCAGCATGTGCCATCAGACACCTCCGGGCTGACTGACAGAACGTGATACAATCCCCTTATACACCCACAATGAGCTCTACACTGACCTTCTGATTAAATAAAGCCAGGAGGAGAGCGCAGGACAGAAGTCATCAGAAAAAGGGACAACGCTGGCATGTCCAACTAACTCCTAAAGGCCCCCCTCTCCCATATTACCTTATCGGCCCCAGACAGCAATGTGGATTAAACCAGAGGCCAGGGAGCAGAGAGGGGAGGGTGATGGCAGGGTATGTGTAGGTGACCTTGCGCCGGTCATGAGTCCAGTCCACCCATTTTCATTTCTCTGGAGCCCTTTTCCTGCCCTTGAATGGGAATACCCCTGGCGTCAAAGCCTCTTCTGTATTAATGGATTGCTGAATGCATTAGTCCCTTTGGTGAAAGGCAAGCATAATGAGGGAGGAATAATAATATTCATTATGATGAGCTGCTCCAGTAATTTCTGTCATCTTGCACACTTAATGGACCGATATGTTTAATGTAATATTACAGTGATTGTGCAATGACACACCGTGACAGTTTAGAGGGCTAACGCAAGGGATTGCACCGACTAGTCGATTTGTTCAGACACTAGTCGGGCAAGCGTTGGCTCGGTGTGAACTTATTATATTATATTATATTATATTATATTATATTATATTATATTTATATTATATATATTATATTATATTATATTATATTATATTATAATCTTTATTTCAGTTAACGAACAGTTTAAGTTTTTTTGTGCGTTTGCTTGTTTTGTATCATAATGACCTGTAATTGCCTATTTGAAATCATGTGAAAGTGAAAGCTTGTTGAATTTGCATTTTGCAATAAACTGAAAATTTGAACAGATACATTTACTAATAAATTACTTTTTGGGTTGACTGTTTGACTAGTTTACATGATTCAACCCTACGCTTTTCAACCTTGCGCTCTTTACTCCCACCGATTAACTCAATGGAGTGAATCAATAACAAGAATGACTTTGAGTCTCATCCGTGTTCTTCGACAGGTTTCAAACTGAGGAAAAGGAAAATCATGAATGAGCCCACAGGTGGCACAGGAAATTGCCCCCACCTGACGCAGGCAATTCCCTGTGAGGAGCCCAGTTGCTATGAATGGCTGCTGGTGAAGCTGGAGGAGTGTGTGCCTGACAATGACAGAGTATGTGGACCGGGAACCCAGAACCCACAAGTACAGTGCGTCAACAGTGACGGTAAGTGATACGTACACATTCCATCTGCATGATATGGGACTGTCCACTCATAAGCATTCAAGCTAATTAAAGATCTTTTCCTGAATAGACTTTCTATTTAAGGGTCATGCCCAGGCGTGCAGTGTGTCGAATGCAGCAACAAACCCAGATTGTTTTGTTCTTGTACAGCTGGGTCCATTCTTGAACTCTGTCCATAGGGTTTATGGTTCTGGACTCACGCCCAATGCCGTAATTGCTGTTTGTGCACAGGCGGCTGGTAGTACTTCTGTATTGTTAGAGTGGCCAGAGGGGAAATTCAGAGCAATAAGAAGTGTTACTGCTGCCTTTTACTCTTCAGAACACAAAGCCACATGTGCTGGGGCGGTCTACTGTCTAACTAGCCCCAAACTCTCCAATAGCGTCTGGATGTTATTGGCTTGACTGAGTATACACGGTAGCTAGGGAAACCAACACCAGCACCATCTGTGAGATCAGAGAAAAATACAGTTTACCTGGGGACAAGCACATGCCTGGATCTGTGACCATAGCTGATACTAATGCCTCAATATACTGAACGAGAGGAGAGCTGGGATGGCTGTAACACTTCTGTAACTTTTTGTGGTAGGTTGTAACTTCTTGTAACACTATTAGAAAACATGGACATCCGTTTAAATTATTGTAATTCCAACACCCACAAGTTATTTTAAGCATTTTAATTCAAAAAGGTACAAAAATACAAAAAATAGGTGAATTATTTAATAAATATACTATTTTTTTTTGAAAGAAAGAAAGAAATGAATACTTTAATTCAGCAAGGACAAATTAACTTGATCAAAAGTGACAGTAAATACAATTATGATGTTACAAAAGATTTATATTTCAAATAATTGCTTTTGAACATTCTATTCGTCAAAGAATACTGAAAAAATATATGGTTCCAAAAAATGCTGTTTTCAACATGATAATAATAAGAAATGTTTCTTGAGCAGCAAAATCATATTAAAAAGCATATTAGATCATAAAAATTATTTAAAAAGCATATTAGAATGATTTCTGAAGGATCATGTGACTAGAGTAATCATGCAGAAAAATCTGCATTTCATCACAGGAATAAATTACATTTTTAATAAATATTAAAATAGAAAATAGTTATTTAAATTATAATAATATTGCACATTATTACTGTTTTATATATATATATATATATATCAAATAAATGCAGTCTTGGTTGAGCATAAGAGACTTCTTTCGAAAATATTTTAAAAAATCTTACAGATCCCAAAATCTTTAATGGTAACATACACGCAAACAAAAAAGAACATGAAACACAAATGACTTAATATTGCTTATGCTCTCTGTGGATTTAGAGTTATTACATTGTTTACTCTTACTGTTTGAGAAGCTTTTGTCAAAAGCCACTTTTATATCTAATTATGTAGTGCTGGAAAATCTCCCATCTGTCTTGGTTTTGATTTACATTATTTATACAGCCTAAAACTTCATCGATATTTGAGAAATGAAATGACCCAGCTATGTTGTACTAACAGTTTTTTAATGGGATTTTATGGATGAACACTTCGCTCTCGTTGATGAGGGAGTGAAATTCAGTGCCGCAAACCTGCAATTCTGATTCATCCGATCTAATTAATTTCATATAATAGAGACTAGAGCATAGCTGAGTGAATATTTTAGCAAACCAAATGGAAAGCCTGTCTCCAACTTGTGGAAATGAAATAGGTTCATTCAGCGAGCTTATCAAAAATAATTAACCTTAAATTATTGTGGATATGAGGGACAAGTAGAATATTCAGTTTTTTAAAATAGAACCACCAACTCTGTGACTTCTTTTTCTTTGCCTTCCGTATTGATAATGTCTTGTCTGAAGTTGCGGCTCGACTCGGCTTGCATTAATGAATCAATTATGAGCGCACACCGTAATTGTATTTTACATCCTCACATTTCGCTCCTTGTTCCAGTAAATTTCAGTGTGCGGACATGGCAATTACTGCGACATTCCAGAACCTCAGCATTCACATCGCTAATGAGGACTCGGGGGAGAGAGAAAGGCGGAGAGTAAGGACAGAAAGAGAGAGGCAGCGAAAGGCTCTTGTGTGTGTGTGTATGTGTGTCTGTGTGCAACTCAATCAGTTTTGCAAGGCTCATAATCAAGCATCCCATTCACACCAACTGAAGGTGTCATACTGCATGTGCCTCAGCTGTCACCACAGAGACGACTGCCACCTCCCCCCGGCCCTCCAACCAACCTCATCTCCCAGACAGTTACCCTGAAACACCTTCCTTAACATGCCACGTGTAACAACTGTACTTTATATAGCACACAGATTCTATAGCTTTAGCAGCCATGTATTAAACAGTTTGATGACCATTTAATTAAATAAAGAAACTGATCACCCTGTATTAACCCTAAAATGCATAGCTCAATTTTCTCCTCTTGAATATATATATGTGGGTCAAAATAGTCCGGGATAAAATATGATGCATGCATGCTGTAGCACTGCTTGTTTTGTCATTGAAATGGTAATTTAATGATTTAGGTCAGATTTTGCCTGGGGAACAAAATGTCTTAATTAACATACTAAATATGTCATTTCAAACCTGTATGACTCTCTCTCTCTTCTGTGGAACACAAAATAATATATTTTAAAGGATGTTTTTACTTTTTTTGTCTATACAGTGAAAGTCAGTGGAGTCCAAAACAACATCTGACCCCATTGACTTCCGATGTACAAAAAAAATATATATATATTGTGTTTCGGGAAAATAAAAGAAGTCATACAGTATTGGCAAAAAAAGGAAGGTGTAACAATACTGGGTAAATCATAAAGACATACTTTTGTTCCTTTTTTACATGTTGTAAATACAGTATATACTATGAACTTTCCCTATATTATATAGGTCATGTGGTCTGACAGTTTTCATATTATTTGTCCATATATGAATATATGAAAACATATATCCAAAAACTGAAAAGAACACTGGCCATTACTCTGTTCCTCCCTGCAACACATTGACCCATTTAAGTCCAGATACCTTGCTGTAGTGAGGAATAATATGATTTGTTCAAGGTCACCTCTTTCTTTGTCCTGCCTTGCAGATGGGTAGACGGTGAATATGTTGTTCTGGCACCAGTGGCGAGTCGCCTATATAAATGAAATTAACTCTGTTAGTCCCTCAGAGTCAGTCTGCATTTAGCTGAACTCCCTCTCTCCCTCATTAACTTTGGGAAGAGTAGTGTGCAGCCTCATCAGAATGTGACAGCGCTCAATAGAGGAAATGTCAGATGCCGTCTGGTACTTTTCCATCAGGGGACAGTCAGATGCAGGTGAGGTTTAACACTCTGAGATGTATAAGGGCTAGACGTACAGCTGATATTAAATTTTCCCCAGCATGTACTCAGAGTTATTCATGAGGACAGTTGATTTGTTTTTTCCCCAAGTCTGTGAGATTTGCCTTATGTGCAACTTTTTTTTTTCTTTTCTTCTTATTTATTTATTTTTAAATCCAAGATGGTGACCAGATAATGGGCTAAGCTAAGCTTTAAACTTCTAAAAAGGCACATAAATATCTGAATGGACTGTAATGATTATTTTTTTCTTGACGTGAACTGCTGTGTATAAATACCAGCGGTGTGCGGAAGTCTAACTCTTTCCCACTCCCAATCTCAACCAATCCTCATTGTTCCCTAGTGCCGCCCCTCTTCTCTCAATTATTGATTCCTGTTGTCTGGTGCTGATGAGAATAGATCTGTTGTGTCCCATGGGGTCCCGCTGTGTCATCTGACTCAGTGGGTTTCACCGATCGATACAGGGGCTGGTACACAGTCCACCCCCCCCAGTCTCAACCACTCCTCATTGTTCCCTAGTGCCTCCCCTCTTCTCTCAATTATTGATTCCTGTTGTCTGGTGCTGATGAGAATAGATCTGTTGTGTCCCATGGGGTCCCGCTGTGTCATCTGACTCAGTGGGTTTCACCGATCGATACAGGGGCTGGTACACAGTCCACAGAGGGGTTGGTGTCCAAAACTAGGTCTTTCAGTTGACCTCTGTGAGCAAAGTATGTTTTGTTGTTTTGTTTTGTCTTGTTTTACTTTGATTTTGATTTTGCTCTGATTTGTTTGGATTGTTTCTTGTTTGTTTTTCTTTTTGTTTTATGTTTGTTTTGTTTTATTTTATTATTTGTTGTTGTTTGATTTTGCTTTTTTTATTGTGTTGCTATTAAAACAATTAAACTAATTTAATAATAAATAATAAATAATTTTGTTGCTATAAAAAAAAATATATATATATTGATCCTTTCATGTATAAGACATAAAGATTTAAGTTAAATGTTATACACTAAAAACATGTCACAATATACGTTACGTAGCTGCAATTGCTGCATTGGTTGTTTTTCTTGGACAGCATTTACGTATAATCACATGTGATTGTGTGATTGCAAACATCGCCGGATCATCGTCCCTCTTGGGTGCACAGCTGTCACATCCTGTTTGACATTGAAAGAGTAATCTAAAGTCTACTGAACTACTTTCTACTGTTAAACTTTTGGGCTTAATGCATGCCATAACTATGCAAAGGGCTTCTATATGCAATTTACCCTTGTCCTTGGAGATTTTTATTGTAGGAATTAGCAATGGGTCATTAGTAAAAGGGACACAACTGAGAGTGTTGTCCTGTCCCTATGATAATAGGGGCCCACTAAGGTCTTATATGTTTATAGGGGACATTGGGAACATGCCCATCCAAATGTTGTCTTGGGCCCTTTGAATTTTATCAATGTTCCGGTTTATGCATACATGTACTGTATGCAGTGTTAATGTGTAAATGGGTGGTTTTCACTGAGTGTTTGTGTACCGTGCACAGTCTGGCATGGAGTAGAGATGACAGCACTTGGCGGTGCATCACTTGCACAGTGTGAATTCTCTGTGTGGGTAGATTTATTTGCACTGAGTGAGATGTGTATTAATCTTCACACAATTTAACACAGCATCAAATGAGTGAGGTTTCGCTTTGCTTGACTTTTGTCTTTTTGGAACCCATTTGTGTATTTCTATGTGGATATTAGTTTTTAATTTGCTAGAGTTTGCCCTTTCATACTCAAATGTTTGGTGGTTTTCCGGGATCCTTATTTAGGATGTGAGAATATAACAGACCCCGTGTTTTGTTGTTCTCAGGTGAATTCGTGGACAGGCAGCTGTGCCGGGACGCCATCCTTCCCATGCCTGTGCTGTGCGAGGTGCCCTGCCCCAAAGACTGTGTGCTCAGTCCCTGGACTTCATGGTCTCTGTGCTCCAATACCTGCTCAGGGAAGAACTCGGAGGGCAAGCAGACCAGATCACGCTCCATTCTGGCCTACAACGCTGGGGACGGTAGGGTTTTTACTATTATCAAACCACTCTTATACCCTCTTTCCACTAAAATGGTGTGAGTTGAGCTGGTGTTTGGGCAGAGGATCTTCATACACCTCTCAGAACTGGATTTCTACTGAGCTGAACTATGATGTACCTTACTATGTTGCTGCATTGCCTGCTCACAAACAAACAGCACTTTGCAGTCTTGTTTATGAGTCGTATGAGTATTGAAAACCTTGAAAAACTTTCCAAAGCAAATTAATTATGCATGATGACTGGCTCCTTTTGTATCAACTGTGAGAAGTTAAAATAAATAAATAATAATATTCATAATTCAAAATAATCAATTCCAACATATAATATTCATCAATAATGTACTATAACAAACAGTGAAAATAGAGTGTCTGGGGTTATGAGTCAGGTAGTACTTGAGTACAGGTAGTACTTTACGGTAGTATGATTTTTTTTTTATTCTAAAATGCAGATTTCATGTTCAAGAAATTTCTTATTGTCAATCTTTAATGAATAGAAATTTCAGAAGAACAGTATTTATTTGACATAGAAATCTTTTGTAACATTACAAATATCTTTACTGTCACTTTTGATCATTTTAATGCATCCTTGCTGAATAAAGGTATTAATTTCATTACTGACCCAAAACTTTTGAATGGTTGTGTATTTTGACTTTTTAAAATTTTAATTAATTGCTTAAGAGCTTAAAGAACTTCTTTTGGTGCAGCAATAGTTATAACGATTCAAATTCGTAACGATTAAATCATACATATCTACTTTAAGAAAAAAAGGTACAAAAGCTGTCACTGGGGCAGCAGTACTTTTCAAAAGGTACACTTTTGTACCTTTTAGGCACTAATATGTACACTTTAGGTTCTAATATGTACCTCTAAGGTACCACTATGGACTCTTTAAGTACAAAGGTCTACCATTTGTACCTTTATTTCTGAGAGTGTATGATACTTGTGATATAATTTTATTTTACACAAGCAGTTAAAATAAAGTATCTGGATTTTACTGAGAATATGTTTAACATTTAAAGTAATTATATTCAGCAATTTTATAAGCAGGTAGCAGCGGCTGCAGTGGAGTCGATATTTTTCAGCCTAAATCCACCATTTTTTGTGGATCAGTATGTGGCATTGCTTTACTTGATGCCCTGTGTGTATCATGTGCATCCTGCTGCTAAAAGTATTTAGCATTATAGCCCTTAGTCCAAAACTAGACTGTTTTGCCAGGGTCTCTCCAAAGATTCCTGCTTGTTTAGATATAATCAATCACCATCTTTTTTCTGCTTATGTGGATTTGTATGCTCAAGTAGACATGAGCAGATTGCAAATATCTTACCGCACTTGCCCCCTTATGTTAGTTTAACATTCTTCCATGTGAGCGCAAAAAAAAAAAAGCCCATCACAAGGTAATGAAGGTCTCTGAGCATTAAGTGATTCAGACCTCAGGTGAGCTCAGGCTGTAAGTGTGTATCTGAAGTGTAATAGACTGATGGATAAGTGGTTGCTTTGGGCTAAAACCTCTTCCTTCCCTCCACCACTCACCGGCCAGAAATCCATTTCCACAAATATGCAGCTTGAGGGAACAGGACTTACACTGCTGACTGAGAGCAAATCGGCTTGGTTTGCTTTAACATCACATCATTTTACGGTCATGCTAGTGCCAGAATCAAAGGTAGTGTATTTGGTACATCTGTGGAGTGCGGTTGCTTTATATATTACAGTTTTAGCACAAATTGCACAAAATATGCACAATGATGCTTTCTGCCCTGTGGCAAATTGTGCTACGTGCTGCGGTACTTGGATTATTAGCCTTCAAACGATTCAGGAGACAGTGGACTGAATTGATGACAAGCGTCTGAGAAAGCAGGTGTGTGCTGCAGTAGCATGAAGTTTAGTAGATCCTGTTCTGCTTGTCATCTGCCTCTGTGTGAGGTGATGGAGAGGATAGTATGAAGCATTGGTCATTTGCTGTCTATATAGCTAAGCCTCTCGGAGTAGGACCTAGCTGCCTCAAAATTAGCAGAAATGTACAATCCCACACTCCAGTTGCCTCATTTTAGTCTATTAAATTTGTAGTCTGTGAGAGCCTCCTAGAGCATAGGTTTTCAAATTGGGGAAAGGGGGAGGGGGGTGGAATATTTTTTCACCACTTTTATTATTGTTGTTATTATTATTTATTTATTTAATTATTTAATTTTTTCAAAGAAAATGTGTTAACTTAAGATTATACATTGTAATTGCATTTAAGTAATTTGGTTCATATTGTTAACATTAATTGAATATGTATGATGTAATAATTGTTATCAGATTTTCTCAATTTGATAGTTTATTTTGCCTTTTAAAGACATAATATTCATGATTATTTTATTCCGTTGACAGCCCAGTTTTTAAGAGTAAGAAATAAGTAAATTCTAAAAGAATGGTAAAACTGATTTGGGACGATGTTTACTGTAAAAAAGTCATATACTAATTAATTTCCATTAAAATAAAATGTGTGTACTGTACTTTTAGATTCATTCATTCATTCATTTTTTTCATATTTTTTTGGAGAATTGTAATACTTTTATTAAGCAAATATGCATTAAATTGACTTGACAAAATAAAAAAAAAACTGTTTTCAATATTAATAATAAGTTTATAATACTGTTTCTTGAGAACCATAAAAATTATTTCTAAAGGATCATGGGACACTGATGACACTTTGCCATCATAGGAATACATTACATTTGAAAATATATATCAATAGAACACAGTTATTTTCAGTTCTAATAATACTTTATGATTTATTTAATAAAATAAATAACATTTTGATCAAGCTTGGTGAGAATGAGACTTCTTTCAAAAACAGAGAAAAAAAAGTCTTACCAACCCCAAACTTTTGAACAATACTGTACAGCTAATATGGAAAATAATTTACAGTTAAGCAGAGCCATTTTATGTTCCTTGCGTATCTAATATAAAATTATGTAATAATTTGGTCTCAGACTCGTAAGTCTTATTTTTGAGCATGTTGTAATGTAGTAAAATAACATTAGTTGAAATTCCGTCAGCATTCAGTTCATTCGTGACACGATGTGTGCTTGACCTTCTTTGCAACTATTCTAGAGGTTTACAGATCCCCAGACTGAGCACCACCAGCATCATTTCAGTGGCAAACCAGTGAGTGACCCTTGTGCAGGGCCTTGAAAAACTTCTTTCACCACTGACAGCCTAGTGTATATAAAAAGGATAAAATTTTAATGGAATGTTAAAACATTTATGATTCTACACTTTAATGCATGATCAGATATGTAACACATATTTGCTCTTTCTAAATGGAGGGCTTGACCATTTCAAATGCACCGTTTCTTGAGGATGTCATGCAGACATCACTGCGTACTACATCAAGAGAAGCTTAACACAAAACTAAACGTAGATGACTGGAGCTGCAATATGAACTGCAGCTCTTAATGGTGCAGAGATGGACCAAGAACATGCAATTACTCTGAGCTGTGCGTGGACTCACTTTTGTAATTGTACAAAGGATTAGTCTTCATCTGAGTCACAGGTCAATAAATAACCAGAGGGAGTGTTAATCCCCATTTGAAACAATGTGATTCTGGTGCAGCTTTTTGAAGCTCTGCTAATGCATTGCCCTGGCATGCCCTGAACCACTGTGTGACGCTTTGGAAGTCAAATAACCCTCCTTTGGTAAATGTAAAGAGTTTTTTCTCTCTTCCGTGGCCATTACTGTGACTGTGCTGCTAACAGCAAGTGTTTTCTAATGGTTCTCACATGTCTAATGAAGTGTCACAAAGCAAGGCCAGACACAACAGGTAAGTGCAAATCAGGATGGTTTATTGACTGGGTAAGGGGATGACTGGAATAGGTGTGTAAAGGCAGGTGAGTGTCAACACAGTGAATGGTTCCAGGGTGCTTATCTGAGTTCTGATGGTGAGGATCGGATGCCGGTTACGTTGGAGATCGTGGAACAGTTTCCAAGGAGTCGTTGGAGGATCGCGGGAGGAACAGCAGGTAATTCGTTCTAGGAGAATTTGGCAGAGAGAGTCCAGAGAAGTTCGTAGGAGTGAACGGTAGACCGGACAGTGAGTGACTGTGCTGTGTGTGTATTTGTAGTGTGGCTTGATTGGTGACAGCCAATGCGGGTGATCAGAACTCAGGGGACTGTGATTGGGTAATTATCCTGGATGGTGACTGAAGTGACTGTGATGAATCCCTGACATGAAGTGTGTGATAATAGTCGATAACCTTTTAATAAATTAGATACTGAAGGACTGTGTCCTGCATTGCTACAAAGGATGAGTCAATTATTCATTATTTATGCTGCTCTTGAACAAGGAGCACTGCTTGATGCATTGTTTGTCCATTTTTCTCATTCACCAGTTTAACATTTTCTCATTGATCGGTGTGTGGTTGTTAATGCGCACCATTGAGATAATGGCTGATCGCTCCGTGGGGACTCTGGTGCTTTGCGTGTGACTGCAAGCAAAGCCTGGTAAATAAATCTAGAAGCAGCTCTTATCCTAACGGTCATGGTTGACTGTTGACTCATGCATTAGACTCTACTCATATTTCATCTACATATTTCAATTTCTAGATGTTTTATGTACTATTCTACCTTTTTTTTTTTTTTTGCTCAAAATTCATTTTGCTCAAAATTTTCTCACCCTAATGTCATCCAAGATGTAGATGAGTTTGGATTTGGATCATAATGGATTTGGAGAATTTTAGCATTACATCACTTGCTCACCAATGGATCTTCTGCAGTGAATGGGTGCCGTCAGAATAAGAATCCAAACATCTGATAAAAACAGCACAATAATCCATAAGTAATCCACACGACTCCAGTCCATCAATTAACATCTTGTGAAGCGAAAAATTGTGTTTTGTAAGAAATGTTCAAGACGTTTTAAACTTCGAACTGCTGTTTCCATCCAAAATAGTCCTCTATCCATAATAAAGCTTTCTGCAGTGAAATATGCACAGATTTAGAATCGTTAACAAGCAGAAAGAGTCCAAAACAAATTTGTGGGTGGATTTTGATGTAGAAAGACAACAGGAGATGGACTTTTTATTGGAGGAATATTAGCGTTATATATAGCGTTATTATGGATTAAACTGGACAAACACAGTTTTTTACTTCACAAGACATTGATGGGCTGGAGTCATGTGGAGTACTTGTGGACTATTGGGAGTTTAAACTCATCCTGAGCAAATTTTAATTTTCTTGGGTTAACCATTGCTTGATATATTAATACTATTAAATTAGGCCGTTTAGTTAAGTAATGGGGTACTAATAATACAAATGATATTAATAATATTTAGAATACAGTCACAACATTGTAATTGAAAATGACTTTATTAAGCAAATTCATTAAGTTATTTTTGTTCTGCTAGAAATTATGCTACCTGGCAAAACCGTATGTTGCTATGCAACAAAAATAATGATCTGCTATGGAAGCTGACAGCGATATGGTGAATAGGTCTCATGTCGTATCTGTTTCAGATTTGGATTTTAGCTCAACTGGAATGTTGTATTAACCAGTTAGAAGCCAGTACTGAAACTGTAGGTTCTAACTTCCTATGCATATTATATTACCAGTATTTACTATTTTGCCTAAATAATGTACAAAATGGTCAAATACCAGGTCAATTTTTTTTTTTTTTTTACGGTTTGGGTTTATGATTTACCCAGTATTGCAACACCTTCCTGATCCTTTTTATCTTTTAGGTGGAGGTCAGTGCCCCAACAGCAGCGCCTTGCAGGAGGTCCGCAACTGCAATGATCATCCCTGCACTGTGTACCACTGGCAGACGGGGCCCTGGGGTCAGTGCATAGAGGACACCTCCGTTCCATCTGCCAACAGCTCGCTCAGCCGCACCGGAGCAGGAGTCGGCACTAATGAGGCGTTCTGCTCGGTTGGAATGCAGACGCGTAAAGTCATTTGTGTCCGGGTCAATGTGGGCCAGGTGCCACCTAAAAAGTATGTGTTTTTAAATGTGTTCCTATAAATTGCATTGATTTAATTTATGCTGGGCATAAATAAAATGCATGCAATTCAATCCATTATTCAATTGATTTCTTTGTCTGTGTTGTTGTTATAAGGAAATATAAGTGAATAGCCCAGATCTTTTATTATTTATTTATCTTTCTTGGCATGTGTTGGAGCAGATATTGAAGCAGGTTATGTATTCTGTTTATTAAACTCAATCTCGATGTCTGGTGCTTGATCTTTATTGACAGATAGAGACGGTTGTTTAAGTAATATCTGAATCTGGTCTTTCCCCGAAGGCGTCTACTGGGAAAATAAATGATCTGTTTATTTATTAAATTTAATAGTGGCATTATTCTGTCAGTGGCTGTAGAAACAGTGTGTGTAGCTCAGGGACCTCATGCTGGCAATGGAAATGAGTCCCGCTTTCTTCCCGGGGTTATTCATGTGCTGGGCTTTACCCACTGATCTACACATTCATATACACACGCAGATATACACACGTGAGCCGCATGCTGATGGTTATGGGATTTCATGTGAAAGAAGCAAGGATATTGGAATGATTCAGGGATAAAGAGAGAGGAAGGAGAATGAAGTGTAGTATGTGCAGAGCCATATAATAAAGACGAAAATTTTATATTTGAGGGTGAAATTACATTTACATTCTGCTGTTTATGTATACACTACTCTTCAAAAGACTTTTTTCTTTATGTTTTTGAAAGAACTTCATCTTCAAGGCTGCATTTATTTGATAAAAATACAGTTAAGTATTGTGAAATATTATAGTTTAAAATTATATATAAAAATTTGAATATGTTTTAAAATGTAATTTATTCTTGTGATGGCAAAGCTGCATTTTTAACAGTCATTACTCCAGTCTTTAGTGTCACATGATCCTTCAGAAATCATTGTAATATTCTCATTTGCTGCTCAAGAAATATTTCTTATTATTATCAATTTGGCTGCTTAATATTTTTGTGGAAACCACAATACATTTTTTTGATGAATAGAAACTTCAAAAGAAAAGCCTTTGATATAAAAACCTTTTAGAAATTTATCATTTTCTTTACTGTAATGTTTGATCAATTTAATGCATCCTTGATGAATAAAAATATGAATTAAATTAATTTTAAAAAATGTAATAACCCCAAACATTTGAACTGTAGTGTGCATACAATATATAAGTACATGTACACAGTGACATCCAACTAATGAAACTAACTGCTTCTGTTTTGCATTTTAAATAATTTATTTAATTTATAAAAATGAAAAAAAAAAAGAATAAATAAATCCATTAAAATTAATTAATTCAATTGTAATAGTTTATTTATAATTTATTTAATGATTCTATTTTTCAATGCTAAATATATTACCAGCATAGCATGTAAGGTTAAAATTTTAAAAATGAACATTATTTTCAGAATGTCTAATATTTGGTTTGTTTCTCTTTAGCTTTAAGCGTCATGAACTTTACAAGTTTGTGTCAAACTTGTGTCATCTTGTTCTCCAGCGTGATTTAACATGATCCAAAGATGTGCTTCTTCCAAAGAAAATCTGAGCATCTGTACATCCTGTTTTACTGTTTGTTTGTTTTTTATGCAGGTGTCCAGAGAGTCTGCGTCCAGAGACTGTAAGGCCGTGTCTTCTGCCCTGCAAGAGAGACTGCATTGTCACTCCTTACAGTGATTGGACACCTTGCCCTTCCTCTTGTCAGACAGGTACAGTACTTCTTTACACACACTTATAAAACTCGAATATACTGTAAAACTAAAAAAATGTTTCTCAAAGGCTGAAGTTTACTGACATCAATGCATAAAGAAATATTGGTAACTTTCAGCCTTCTATCAGAAGTGTTTAGAAACAGACTCTTTGTTCCCACAATAGCACGCTAGTATCAACACTATAAAAAGGAATTGTTGCTTGGCAACTCGGCCTATAGGAAGCAGAACAAATATTAAAAGAAGCTGCCAATATCTGAGCTATTTGTTATATGAAGCAAATAAGCATTGCATTTCTTATTCAAATCTTTTTTTTTTCGAGTGAATGTCACACTCCAATGTGTTTTGTATAAAATATTGCCTTTTTAAAGACCATCTGCTTGACAGTTTCTTCTTCACTGAACAATGAGCAGATTTTCACTTCCCTCATTAATTTTCTTTTTTGTAGTACTTGTTACATTTACAGTAAATATTGTATGTATGTAATTTTTACAAAGAGAACTACCCTCAAAGTTTGAGCTTTGTGGAAGAACAGTGAGAAAACGGTATGAAAAGAATGAATAATCATATGCACATATTTATAGATGCCTTCACCCGGTGGAGAACTTCAGTCAGAGTATAAATCACTGAACCGAGTTTATCAAAAATAAAAAGCTGAGAATTGTGGCTTTATTATCATCATTTCATTTCTCAATTGAACTTAATATGGAAGTCATTAAACCATAAAGCTCATGGTATTTTGGATGTACTGACATTTTCAGAAATATAAAAAGCTAAGGTTGGATAAAAACCTTGTTAAATGCAACACGGTCATACAGAGATTTGTGTACTGATTAGATTTGTGAGCAGGTATGGCGTTTTTGCTATTTATCTGCTATTTATTCATGGCAATTTCATATTTTCTGTCCGTCGTCTTGTGTATATCCAGGTGGTGCCGTCAAAAAGAAGCAATCAAGGAAACGCATTATCATTCAGCTTCCAGCTAACGGGGGCCAAGACTGTCCAGAAGTGCTCTTCCAGGAGAAGGAATGTGATGCCTCGTCTGTTTGTCCAGGCTACAGGTGAACATAATACCTCTGTTTGCAATTATAGTACAGAAATTTTATGAATTACTAAAATGATATAGAAACAGAGAGTGAGAGAGAGGCCAGTTTTAAGTTTTACAAATATATATAAATTGCTTTTGCGCTATAGGTGGAAAACCCACAAGTGGCGCAGGTGTCAGTTGGTGCCCTGGACCATTCGTCAGGACAGTCCTGGAGCACAAGAGACCTGTGGACCAGGACTACAGGCTAGAGGTACAGAAAAACCCTCGTCATCAACATAAAATGAGATGCAACATCCTTCAATGTCAATAAAACTTTGTAGTTGCTTGTTGCAGTGCTTCACACTGTAGCTGGGAGACTGTTAAACATGTGGTAAACGCATGAGATTGGTAGTAATTCGATCTGTGACCATCAAAGGGCTGTGTAAACGCTTCTGGATTTAAACCAAATGTTCTTTCAGAGATTCGGGAAACTGTCAGAAGCAGTCACAAGCGATATCCTTTGCTCTGAGTCTTACCAGTAAACCCTTTCAGGGTTCAAATTCAGGCCATTAGTGTGGTGTGATTGAAAAAACATATCTGAAAAGGAAAGATGTGAGTCTTGTGTTATATACGCCTGGAGACAGTCATTTTTGATACTATATCACTGACAGAGATGCATTTACCGCATATGGAAGGCTCCACTGACATAAAAGCGTTTTTATGTGGGAACCTTTCACTTGGGTTAAAATTTTAGACTATATTAAATAAGAAATGTGGTATCTTGCTTCTAAAAATGGATGGTGTGGGCAGTGAAAGAAAAAGTACAGTCTGCAGGTTGTTCTTAAAATCACATAGTACCTCAAAAAGCTTTTTTATATATCAACTTCTCAGCACTGCTCGCATTAACAAGCATTACCCGTAATAGTATCCCTTAATACACCGGCATGTCTGAAAAAGCAATCCAATACAATAGCTTTCACCCTCATTCAATGATATAAATCTGGATCCGTCCGGCTACTCGAGTCAATAGGCATTTAACCGCCCTCTCGTGTAATCCATCACAAGATGCTTATCTTTATTCAATGTGTGTGGCTTTATAGGTGTGAGTGGACTGATATTTATCAGTATTAACTCAGAGAGTGTTCTCCCTTTTTAGTTTTGTTTCTTTTTCTGGTAGTACAATTGGTTTCTGATCTCTTTCTTCTTTTCTCCCTCAGCCGTATCGTGTAAAAAGTTGGATGGTGGACCTGCAGACGTTGCGGCCTGTCTTAAGTTTGCAGGTCCTATGCCTCAACTCACTCAGTCCTGCCAGCTTCCATGCCAGGATGACTGCCAGCTGACCACCTGGTCCAAATTCTCATCCTGCGCTGCTGATTGTGTGGGTGTCCGAACTAGGAAAAGGACTCTTGTTGGTAAGTGCTGGATCAGCAAGTCTAATTCTTAAGTCAACGAAAAGGCTCTTCTCACCTACGTCTTTGATGCTTTACATTTGCTTTATGATTCCTTCAGATGCATTATCATCATTTACATCATTATAAATATATGATGTACTTAAAAATATATTTTATAGTCTTTTATACATGCATTTATAATTTATAATAATTTATAAAATATATTTTAAAATGTCATTTATTCCTGCGATGGTAAAGCTGAGTTGTCTTCAGTGTCACATGATCCTTCAGAAATCATTCTAATGTGCTCATTTGCTGCTCAGATTTTTGTGGAAACTGTAAAACATAATTGTAGGCGTTGATTAATGGTAATTTCAAAGAACAGCATTTATTTGAAATAGAAATCTTTTGTAATTTTGTAAATGTCTCAAATGTCACTCTTGATCAATTGAATGCATCCTTGCTGAACAAAATAATAATTAAAAAAAAATCTTGCTGACCCCAAACTTTGAACAAAAGTGTATATATTATAAATGTAATGTGTTTCTAGAATTGGCTTTTGTATTGCTGTTGTATTAAAGTCAAAGCAAATTCTTAAAATATTATCACAAATATGTATATATATGTATGTATGTGTTTGTTTGTTTGTTGAAAAATGAAAGCATAGAATAAATGCTTCTGTCACAGAACTACATGCAGATTTAGTGCTGTAATTGCTAAAAAATAATTGTGAATTTTGAATATTTTGATTAATTTTCTCAGTAGATTTTTTATGTGTATGTACAAAGGAAAACCCTCTGTGTTGCGAAATGTTATTTTTTGTTAGATGCATTTACCTCTACCTCAGTTGAGCTAGAAATGTGGTTTAACCTTTAGTATAATGTGCCATGAGAAGCTTAGTTAGTTATTTAGAGGTTAACAAAATACAATGTGTGTGCCAAAGACCTATTTGCCCTTTGGAAGACCTGCTGTAAGTCAAGTAACTTTGCAAAAGGATTACATAAGATTAGTGCAATAGGTCTTTCAATTTGGATATGTCTACTTTACTCATGATTACCAAATCAGTGTGTTTTGACCACGGGAGTTTGATACTATTACAGGATCATTCTGTTAGCGGTACATTCCGTATGGTATTATTACAAAAGATTTATTTCCCTGAACATGAAATCATATTTAAATGGATAGCATGGCCTTATAACTTTTGATCTATTATCTGTAACTGCTGTATGTTTGTGTGATTTTTCTGGCACAGGTAAAAGCAAAAAGAGAGAACAATGTAAAAACACACAGATGTATCCTCTGAGCGAAACCCAGTACTGCCCCTGCAACAAGTACAATGCCCAGCCCGTGGGGAACTGGTCCGACTGCATCCTGCCCGAGGGTGGGCGAATAGAGGGCCTTTTGGGTATGAAAGTGCAAGGTGATATCAAGGAGTGTGGCCAGGGTTACCGGTTTCAAGCCATGGTGTGCTATGACCAGGACAACCGCCTCGTGGAGACGTCACGCTGCAACAGTCACGGTGGGTGAAAAAAGTTGAGGTGTATCAATCCTGCGCCACTAGTGTCATTGTAAAAATAATGATTAATTTACTTCCCTATCTGCCATTGGTCACACAAACAGATTGTCCCTCTCACGTCATTGATTGGGACAGTGTTATACTTTGTCGAGAAGAGTGCTAATGTTTGCACATATTTTTGTTTTATTTATTTGTTTGTTTGTTTTTTATTTTTTGACAAAAATATCATCTTGTAAATTTAGGCAATATTTTCTTATGTTCATTCATTTTGCTCAACTTCTTTTTACACAAAATAATAATACAACAAAAGTAGTACTTGTAATTTTTTTTTTATCTATACTAAAAATGTGCAAAATAAAAATCTAAAACCTCTTAAAAATCAATCTATTTTTACAAAAATAACAATAAATATGAGTGCAAAATTAAACCAAATATTTACTTTTTATATACTAATATTGATAGTAGAAAATATGTTTTATAAAGAAAGATTTTATGTATATAAAACAATTAGCCTAAACTGAAATCTTATTATTTAAAATGTAGTCAGTATATGGAGGATTTTTCAAAATATGCACAGTGAAAAATTATTCTCTAACTGAATATGAAGTATGTTTGTCTTTTTTATCTCATTTTCTTCTTAATTTAATATATCATGTCTTGTTTTCTTAAATGAAAATTGAGTTTTTGCTTACAAGAAGAGAAAAAACAATCTTGTCTCCTGAGTATTTTTGTCTTTTTTTATCTCGTTTTCAAATAAAAATATCTAAACATTCTTAAGTCATACTATTCTTAAATTTACTATGTATCTATTATACTAATTTAATAATCAAGTCTTGTTTTCTGAAAAAAAAGAAAATTGAGTTTTTGCTTACACAACGAGAAAAAAAAAATCTTGTTTCCCTTTGAATTAAATTAATTTTTCTTACCCCATTGTTGAACTCCCAATTTTTCCTTGTTTTATAAACTCACTTTTTGTCCAACAAGATGTATAGTAATATATTGTAATTTTGTTTCTAATGTAATTATATCTTGATTTATGAATGTTTAAATAGTAGTACTTTAAAAGGAAGAGAAATGAAAAATCCATTTTAATCAAGTTTATTTACGTGATGCTCGACTAAAGCATTTATGTCTATCAAAAACATACCTTATAGTGAGTCCTTCCCAAGTAAAGAAAGCAAAGAGCTTGTCTTAATAGAAAATAAGCTTTCCACAACAGTGTTTGTAATCTAATTCCGCTCCACAACTCTCGCCACCTCCTGCAGCAAGGAGCTCAGAAATGAGCAGTTGGCAATCCGTTCCTCTGAGCCCGAGATTAGACTGTGGCAAACTACAGCGTTAGATGAAAGCATGTGGAATCCCGTGGCCAATGCATGAGCTCTGTGACGTTAAGGCCTCTCTCTTTATGAGTCACAATCCCATAGTAGAGGCCTGCGACTGGCTCAAAGACTCGGCATCCCTAGAGTGAAGATGTGCTGACGGAGGCAGGGTGTTTCTCTCTCTCTGCCTCCTCTCGTTCTCTTCCTGCTTCCTCTGAGACATCCCTCACTCCACTCAAACCCCTTACCCCTCATGATTTGAAGCGTAGTTGCCATTTTGTGAGGCTGTCAGACTGACATGTTGCCCAAGGCAATTTGTAGAGGGGGTTGAGCGTCTTTAATCCAGCTACGAGAAGTTTCTGTGATAGGGATTTTGGTTCAAAAGTATATACAGATATCCTTAATTTTTTTTTTTTTTTGGAGAGTATATTCATGATTGTATAAGAATTATCTTGTGTTATCCAGTTTAGCAGGCTATGTAAGACAAAACTGAATGAGTTTTGATTGAGTTGTTTAACAATAGTAAGGTGTTTAATAAAATATGAACAATATTTTATTTGTTAATAATTTAACTTGATTAATTTAGTGCTACTATAATTTTGTTAAGATAATTTCATTTAAATTAGATTTACATTTAATTTAAATTCTTTTTTTATTTTTTTTCTTGATTTGAATTTAAAAATGACATTTTCTTACATTTAGAATTACAAATGATCTAGAATTAAGATTTTTTTCCCACCACTGGTGCAATTAATGTGGAGGGCCATGTTTGACACAGAATGAAAAATACAAATAATTTTGACTTTTTATTTAACAATTGCGACTTTATCACTATTATTAGTTTATCTCACAATTTGGAGTTTCTCAGAATTGTAAGTTCATTACATCATTTTGACTTTTGAATTTATTTCTCACAATTGTGTGTTTATATCACACAATTTAGAGTTAACATCTCGCAAATTTTTTTTCACACAATTTAGAGTTAGCAATTTGCATTATTGACTTTTAGTAAACACACAATTCTGACTTTTATTCTCAGAATTCTAACATACAGTATAACCTAAAAATTGTGAGAAATAAAAGCAGAATTGTGAGATAAAATACTGCAATTTCCATTTTATTTCATGGCACAATTCAAGAAGTGAATCACATTGATTGCTAATTTTTATGATATCTATTAAACTGTTTACCACAATAATGTATTTAAATAGTCTTTGAACACTTTGAGCAAATACTTAATATAATGCAATGTAATGCAATGATGTAATATATATATATATACAGTATATATATATATAATTTGTTACTTTCCTATTTCTTGATCATTTGGAATCCCATCTACTTTTTCAACAGCAACTTTCCATAATGTTTGCTCAGCTTTTGAATTTTGTTTTTTTAATATCAACCGTCCATTTTTAATCTGATATTGCTGTGCTTGTACGTTTGAAGGAGCAACGTATTATGAAGCACTTAACATGGAATTCTTAAAACCTGCTGCTTGAATAATCTTCTGACATGTTCAGGACTTGAGCTGTCTCACGCAGCTTTCCCATTCCAGAAAAATACTATGACCTTTGCAAGTGTAAAATGAAACTTCAGCAGACCATATCAGTTCAAATGCCACAACCTTGACCTTTACGCTGCTTTAACATAGACACTCAATGCTGTTTCATCTGTCACAATTTATTAGACTAACTCCAGTAACCAGCATCATAACTGTATAATGTTGGTTTGACTTACTCTAATAGAAACACTAAGTTTAATTTATCTCTCTCTTATCTCTTGTAGGTTACATAGAGGAGGCGTGTATCATCCCATGTCCATCTGACTGTAAGCTCAGCGAGTGGTCAAACTGGTCCCGTTGCAGTAAGTCCTGTGGCAGTGGAGTCAAAGTACGGTCCAAGTGGCTTCGGGAGAAACCTTATAACGGTGGCAGGCCCTGCCCCAAACTGGACCATGTCAATCAGGTATACAGGGAGCCTGTTATATTTTTTTAATGAATATGTGCCTGTCTTGTTTTTTTAATGATTAATTACTGGGCTGCTGTAAATTTTTGGATCAAAGGTCTAAATGGAATAACATGTTTTTTTAATGCACAGCAATGTGGTTTATGTTCACATATTCATGGGATATTGTTTGTATATCGTAGCTTTAGAGCATTACATATTGCTAGGCTAAAATTATGTGAATTTACACAGCTTCAAACAATCTTCTGAGGTTTTGGAAGTGACTAATAAATGGCATGTAACAACTTCTCTGTTTTCTGCATTTCTCCCTTTCATCTTATCTCTCTCGCTCTCTCTCGCTCTCTCTCTCTCTCTCTCTTCATGGTGGGAATTCTGCAACAGGCTCAGGTAAAAATCTCAGGTTTTAAATGATTGATGGTGGTGCATATGTGATTAACCAATTATTTTTGAATGATAATTTTTTATGCTAATGAATCATTTTTTGATCAATTATTAATTCAAGTTCTTGATGAATATACTGTATGACTTTAAGGTCCAAGGACATAGGAATGATCTTAAAAGTGACAGGACACATTATAAACCTGATTGGCTTGGCTCATAAATATTATGTAGGTGAAATAATTGAAAGGAAAATGGCCTTTACCTTTGAATGCAACTTGTTTTGTATCTTAATTTTCTTGTTTACTGAGATGCTTTTAATTAACATCAGTAAGTAACATAAATTAGTTAATTTTAGATCATTAATTCATATTAGGTAATATATTACCTAAATTTAAAAAAAATAATAAAATAAAATGAAGGAAGTTTCTTATGCTCACAAAGGCTGCAAAATTTTATGTATTAATATATGTTAAAATGCCATTTATTCCTGTGATGGCGAAGCTGAATTTTCAGCATCATTACTCCAGTCTTCAGTGTCACATGATCCTTCAGAAATCATTGTAATATACAGATTTAGTGCAAATGATTTTGGTGAAACATTTATTATTATTCTCAAAGTTGCTTAATATTTTTGTTAAAACAGTGAATTAATAAATACTGTAAATTATTGTTAGTTCACTTTTAGTCCATGATAACTAAAGAACAAACAAATGTTAACTGAATAAAACCTTACAGTGAGGTGTTACCACTAAAGCTTTTAAAATATGATCATTCTCCAAAAAGTTGGTGACCAAGCTGAAACTTCTGTGGTGTTTCTCAGGTGTATGAAGTGGTACCATGTCTGAGCGACTGCAGTCAGTATGTCTGGGTGGCTGAGCCGTGGAGTGTCTGGAAGGTCAGTAATGTTGATCTGAAGGAGAACTGTGGGGAAGGTGTACAGACGAGGAAAGTCAGGTATGACTGTCTCAAACAACAACATTACTACTTAACACAGCTTTTTAGAAAGTGCATGATAATCCTAATAGATGCTTCTTTTCATGAAGGTGCATGCAGAACACTGTTGATGGACCTTCAGACCCTGTAGAAGACTATCTCTGTGATCCAGAGGAGATGCCGCTTGGAGCCAGAGAGAGCAAGTTGCCCTGTCCTGGGGACTGCGTTTTGACTGACTGGGGCCCTTGGAGTCGATGCCCATTGGTGAGAGGAAACATTGATCAGGAACACATCTAATGTTCAGTAGAGCACACAATCTTATTTGCCCCTACAGTGTTGTGATGGATAATCGGCTCTACCATAACTGCATGGTGTGTCTGACGCAACACTTCTCAGTGCAAATGTCCCCTGAAAGCCCAGCCTTTATATGATGTTTAAATTAGGGATGCACCGATACCGATACTGTTATCGGTATCGGGCCCGATACTGGTCTCCTGTACTCGTACTCGTACTCGTATTCGTTAAAATGCCCCGATACCAAACACCGATACCACACAGCATGTGATAAGCACCATATTCAAACAAAGAAACACCGACAACAGAACAACAGACAGCAGAAAGGAATTAAGGATGTCTACTACGAAGTATATGTATGCAATGAATATAATGTTAAACATTCAGTATTAACGCCTGTTGCCCGACTAAGTATTCATAGTTGTGTAAATACTGTCATACTAACAGCTGTCTGAATAATTTTTGGTTGATTGTAATCTATTACATACCTTTCTATACAAATTTTCTAACATTATAAAGATGAATTTGTTCTGACACAGTTTAACTCTAAGTTCTTGTCATATTTTATTACCATTTTCTAAACTATAGCGAATAAACTGTGATAATGTGAGAAATGTTGAAGGTGTCTGAATAAATTTTGGTTTGACTGTATCTATTTGATAAATGAAGTTAACCAACTAACATTATACATACCCTTTTGGTTTCTGTACCCAATATTTAAAAAATGTACAAATGCAATAAAAATATCGGTATCGGTACTCGGTATCGGCAAGTACCAAAAATAAAAGTATCGGTATCGGGCGAGTACTGGAAAAAGTGGTATCGGTGTATCCCTAGTTTAAATGCATGCAGATTAGCCAGGCTGGTACCTCTTCCTTCTATTTTTCCATCTCCTGTTTGAGACACCGCATGTTCTTCAGAGCTGCTCAACACCAATCGAGCATTTTTGGTCAGCCGTGCACCAGCGGTCAGTAAATACAAAGCGAAATAAGAAAACCGAGGATGGGGTTGGCCGCTCAGAGCGAGTTGCGAGTTCACACATGAAATCGCTTGCTGTGGCATAAGTGTGTGTATAGGCATTATTGAGGAATCTCTCAGGGGGAGGGTTACTCACGTCTGTCTCAGTGTGATTCCCAGGCACGCTGCCACCAAACTGCAAGGGTAGCTAATTGCCATGGATACTGAGAGTATCCCTGCGGTGAAAATGCGGGAAGGATTAAAACATCTTACACATGACATCAGAGAGGAATTTATTTCCCTCCGAAAGAGCTGCCAACGTCTGAAATAACAAGGAAAATGTGAAAGCGAATTTAATCCGCTGCACATATGCTGAATATTTCAAGATGTCTTCTCTTTTGTCCATTCGATTGTTCTTTTGTTGTTCATTGATCATCGTTTATTCATTGAAAGCTTTGTTTTTTTTGAAGCCATGCAATGTGAATAGTACAAGGCAGAGGACCGCCAGCCCTAGACGTCAGCCTGGGGAAGAGAAACAGTGTCCTTCAACTACAGAGAAAGAAACGTGCACCCTGAACACCAACTGCTTCCATTACTCCTATAATATTACAGGTAAATATTGACTGAATCTTAACTAGAACATGCTGGCTGCCAGATACATGCGAAGACTAAGAAATCACTGAGATCTGATTTGACAAATTTGGCTATTCATCTGTCATCTGGCCTCTCAACATTCATTTCCATCCATGTTCATTTTAATAGTTTAAGAGTCAGTTTGGAAGCTCTTGACTTTTGCTAATACTGATTATCAACAAATGTCAACTTGATAACAGCATTAATTGTCTATTTTGTATATTGTGTTTTTACTATTTTACACATTGTCTATTTTGTATATTTTAGCTCAAACAATAGATTTTGCATGATGGTTGAATCCTAGGGAATGCATGAAAAAATGCACAGTACATCCTGAATGCAATGCAATAAAATATACAAATATAAATAAAACATTTTAGATTATTTTTCCCCTCTAAGAATAATTTTGTTATTACTATTTCACACATGGAACAAATGTAATGTGAAATAGTATTTTAGTATTAAGTGTTATGATAGTATTATGTTTTTAGTAATATACTATTAGTATTTATTAGCTTTTATTTTTATATTTTCATTGTAATAATAATAATAATTATTATTATTATTTATTTCAGTCATTTATTTTTTATTTTTTTCAAAAATCAATATTTCTATTTAGCTTTATTACAGTTTTAGTTTTAGTTAGTAGTTTTAGTAATTTTAGTAAACGTAGTAAACGAAGTTATTTTTTTAGATACGTGTATTTTTTGTATTTATTTTTTTTTCCAGTTCAAGGTTCTCATCAAAGTTTTTGTTGAATTTTCACATGATAAAAGGAAAAAGGTTCATTATGACCTATATACAGTAAATATAAGATTACCTACTTTGGTGATATCTATATTTTATGCATGCTATTAAAATTATAATAATAATCTTTTAAATCATTAAAAAAAAAAAAGGAAAAATGTACTTTATGGAAATTCCATTCCATTAACAGTAAAACACAATGTAATGAAGTGCAAAATTCAAAATACAGGTAAAACACCTGTTAAAAAAAAACACAGAAAACAAAATATTTCATTTTGATACAGAACATTGTTCCCTATTTTTTTGTGATTTATTTATATTTATATATTTTTTTTTTTTATAATTCCCATCCAGACTGGAGCACATGTCAGCTGAGTGAACGAGCCGTATGTGGGGTTGGATTCAAAACACGCATGCTTGACTGTGTTCGCAGTGATGGCAAGTCTGTGGACCTCAAGTTTTGCGAGGAGGTACTTTTCTGTTCAGAAGTCAAGATTACAAGTGATGCTTCTGTTGTAAATCCACTTAACTAAATTGATTTGGTTTCTTTTAGCTTGGTCTCGAGAAAAAATGGCAGATGAACGCTTCCTGTGTGGTCGAGTGCCCTGTCAACTGCCAGCTGTCTGACTGGTCGTCCTGGTCTGAATGCTCTCACACCTGCGGCCTTGCAGGTAAGCCAACACTTTGTATTGAAGACCTTGATTTGAAGTTGGATTTATGCCAGAACACACGAAAAATTCACCGTTTTTGTTACATTATTAAATTTGCATGGCTTGGTTAATTCACACTCTCAGCAGTCAGTCAGTCTGTTTCAGACAAAATCAAAAGCCTCTGGAGGGTCTTTGGGTCTTGTGGTCCAGAACGTTGGTCTTTGATGTTAGCTAACATGACTGGTTCCTCAAAAGGCCAGTTTTAGGGAATTATACTGAGCTCTCTGCTGTCTTAGAATTAACAAAGCGTTGGCTAAAACCACAAAAATTGTATGGTGTGAGAACAATTGTTATCGCCTAGAAGCACCATTTGAGAGGAGGATAATGATGTCCTTGAGTGTAATTCCATCTGCTCTGACAATTGATTAGGGGCCCATTATGTTTGTGTGCTTGGGGCCTAAGAGACCACTCCGCTACACAAGATCTTTGAGAGCCAATGGCCAGCAACTGCTAGAGCAAACCCTACCGCTATATGAAACCTGTGCTGGTTTAGTTCATCATGGCATCTTTAATCTGTCCCCAGGCGGCAGGATTCCCACAAAGATACAGAATCAGCATCAAATTTCATGCTGAAATTTAAATTTTTAGGTTTAATTGGCAATAATTTGTTCAAAAAAACAAGTTCTTAGTATTGTACTTTTTTATATTCATAGTGATTTCTTACCATTTTTAAAAGCCATTTTAAATAAAATTGACTCTAAAAATGTCACATGGCGTTAGTAACATAAAAAGTTATAACATTTTACATAAACATGAGTGTGCACATTTCAATTATTATTTTCATGAAAGTTTTTATATTATATTTTTTAAGTATAAAACAGATAGCTTGCATTATTAATTCATGAATATATATATATATATAGAGACTTTAATGACTGACTTTGATACAGTCATGAGGGTCTTATCTATGATATCATATCCTGTATTTTGTATGTGTTTTACTATATTGTATGTGTTTTATATATCTAAACCCACTTTAGATCTTAACACTACTTAAGAAATGAGTGGTCATTATTTTTAGGTTTAGCAGTGGTATTTTACTGATAGGTTTTTAGAAGGAAAATACATAAATACCTTTAAGTACTTGCTTTGTATTCACTTTAGTAACACACGTTTTGAAGTTTTATAAAGGTTTTGTTATTTAGTTCTTTGTGTTACAACCTGCCATGCAAAATAATTGTTCTTGTGAGAGGAGGAGTTTTTGTGGAGTTTTATTGCAAGCATCCCCTGGGCGCCAATCTTAAACAGCAGGATGCATTCTGCCCGAAAGAGCCTACACTCCATTTCTCTCCATCCCTCTCCTCGGCCCTGCAGAATCGATTTAAGAAAATCAAGAGGGGGAGAGATGAATATTCAGAGTGGTTTCAGGGCCTGGAATTAGGCTTGAAAAATGCCTGGCAGATTAAGTTATTCACAGATGGGTGGAACATTACTACACAGAAAGAAAGACTTTCAGGTCACATACCGTTTTTGGCTTTCCATTGGAGGGGGATTGAGTTACCTGAAATTAGTGCGTGTGTGTGTAACATGAGATGATTCACTTACTGTAAAAGCCTTTATTTCATTGGAGGAGTCACTTTGCTTGATGCATCATCTTTAGCAAGCATGAGAAAAACTAGGGAGTTGTGCTTCCAGTATGTGAGTGAATTTAAAATAGCATTTGTCATGTCTTATAGAAAATGTTATTTTGTGACCACAGCATACCTCAAATACTAAGGGTTTTAAAATTTTAACAACATTACAATGCAGCATCATGAAACATATCTGTTTTTCTTTCTATGTTTTTTTGTAGGGAAGCTCTGGAGAAGGAGAACTGTGATCCAGGCCTCTCAGGGAGATGGACGGCCATGTTCCTCACAGCTGGAGCAGTGGAAGCCCTGTCCTGTTAAACCCTGCTACAGCTGGAGGTACAGCGCCTGGTCTCCATGCAAATCTGAGGTGAGTTTGCTGATCAATCACTCAGATTTCTTTATTCATTTTGGACAATAAGCTGAATTATATATTTTAAGCTGTACTTCATGGATGCTGGGTTTTTTTTAAGTAATATCTGTGTAAATATGAAGTGTATGAAGAATTTGTGGGTATAATATGTCACAGTTTAGTTTATTTTGCTATCCTCACTTGCATAAATTAACTATAATGTAGTGTCCTGCACCTTCTAGTAAAACAATATGAAAAATTATATCTGGTGTCTGAATAATTTTTGGTTTGACAGTATATGTACAAGTAAATATATTAATTGTAACAGCTACCCATCTCACTCGTACAATACATTGTCCTACAATATCTGTGCAATGTATGAATATGTGTGTACATATATAGTCCTATTTTCCCAACATACTGAATTTATTAGTATTTGTCAGTAAATAAATGAAATAAATGCAAAATGAACTCGCATTATTTATTTGAAAAAGCATCTTAGTAAAGGTGCTGGCACATTTACCGCTGCTTGACGAGGGTGAAATCCAGTCATTTCAATAGGAATCTGTGCGATCGGGAGTTTTGAGTTCTGAGCTTCATGTATCAACAATGAACAATGGACTTGTTGTGAAATGTTGCTGAAATTTGACTAATGTGACCGCACCTTAATGCGTAAAAAAGTAACCTGATTGCATAAAACCTATGTAAAGCAATGAGCGTTTCCGATATGAACATCTTAAGCAGGTTTCATCTTACTTGAGGCGCACTTTGCTATAGTAAACCACCATCACTTCATTTCATCTGCAGCAGTGTTTAGGTATATTTAGAATAATCCCCAATCCTCTCCTGCTTTGGCCTTTCCGCAGCGTTTGTGCCGCCGTCTTCCTCCTGTCATCAGTCTGGTTTTAACAGGGGGTTTAATTAAAGACAACAGACAGAAGACACAGCCTCTCTCTTCTCTCCTTTCTTCCCGTCTCTGTCTTTCTCCTTCCCCCCTCGTACCTCATGCCCCCGTCACAGTGCAGGCTGTGAGAGAATATTGACTCTGGCCTTTGTTCTCGGCTGCCTGTCTCTAAAGTGTCTTCTGACAGCCCTCAGCAGTCTCCAGCAGCATTGTTTCACTTGTGCCTCATGTTTTTAGAGATTTTCAGCAGCTATGAAAAAATAATGCCGGTAGCTGACAGTGCGGAACACGAGGACGGAGAAACAATGCTGGGATTTCTTCCTGCCTCATTTTGTATCATCATGAGAAGTTTTGCTCTGTCGAGGTCTAGAGCTCCAAAGAAGCTGTGTAGAGTTCATCCTCAATCTCCACTAGGAGTACAAAAAGTTTATTTATTTTAATTATTTTTTACCACAGCTGGTGTCCAATTGTAGTCATTAATGTCAAAACTCCCTGTTTCCTTAGGGTGCACGGTGTGGAGAGGGCCTGCGCTTCAGGAACATGTTCTGCTTTGTGTCTGATGGCTCGGGGAAGGATCCGGGCAGTATGGTGGAGGAGGAAATGTGTGGAGACCTGGAGCAGACAGTGGATGGGGACAAACAGATCATCCTGCAGGAGTCCTGCACGGTGCCCTGCCCAGGTAACAGCTAATGCCACAACTGTGACGACATGCTGTTGTAAATCCACTACACTGATGTAAATCTTGGGTTCAGCAACTGCAAATTAATGCAGCCTTGGTGAATATAACAAACTTCTTTCAAAAACAGTAAAAAAAAAACTGACAAACCCCAAACTTTTTAATGGTAATGTATGTTATTTAGTAAAGTAAATAGTAAATATCTACATATTGTTTTTATTTTATTTATTGTAATGACAATATAAAAGCCAATTATGTAGTTTAGCAAAAACATATCATGCTTTCTCCCTCCTTCAAAAAAAATAAAAAATCAAGCAGTATAAATTGGCCTTTATACTTTGAAAAAATCACAATCTTGTGTTCCTCTGTCTAGCAGTTAGCTCACTTTTAAATTGGTCAGACCTACTCTGGCACATTTACAAGGCAGCTTTTATGAGACACTGTGTGAAATATTCACTGGGATATCACAGCTATAATTCAACACCCTCATATATCTTGCTGTATTACCTCATACAAGCTGGAGAATTAAACTTAATGGCTTGTTGTCCATTATAGTACTGTAATTTCACAGGAAATGGATGGAAACAAAAAACTATATATATATATATATATATATATATATATATATTTCAGACAGGCTTTTGAAAGCTTTTTATTTCAGCAAGTGAGTGACAGATAGTAAGACAACATTTTGACATGTCCATTGTGGCAGTAGTAGAGAGTCGTGATTGAGGTTTTATTAGGGGACAGTGACAGTAACAACACACCCACACATGTCAGTGCAGATTTGTGTTGTGGTAGTGTGAGTTACATGATGCTTTGCCCACAGTGTAGTTGTGACTTTTGCTTTTTTTTTTTTTTTTTAAGTTGCACAGTTCTTCACTTGCTCTGACCTTTGACCCCATCATTCATTCTTTATTGTTGAAGCGTAGCTCCCTGGCACACATCCCGTCTCGCCCCGTTCTATAAACCTCCAGCTGTGACCTACCGCTGTGCTCCCTCTGTCTTCCCTATTTTTTCCTGTTCCGATCTCTTTTTTCACACAAATGTTTCTTAAATGACGATGATGCACCCTTTGTGCATTTGAATATTCATCCCAGTGTTGTGTAACTTCATCAGCTATTCACACACAGACTCGAGTGTACTCTGTGAACTCAGGTGTCACATCTGCCTCTGGCGTTCCGCTGCGCACGTGCTCTGATAATCACCATCATAGGATTAGGGCTTTATGGAATGACAACTTTATGAATAATTAATACTCTGGGAAATATTCACAAATCAGGACTGCTATTACAACGGGACAGACTGACCTACTTCTGTTGAAAAAAACACCCTGAGATCACAAAAAAAAAGTCTTAATATCCTTGACAAAGAAAAAGAAAGTCTGCAAGTGGAATTTGTTATTGTTAGACCCTGTAGGTTGAAAATGCAAAAACTTTTTTAATTCTTTAGGGTTTTAGATTAAATCTATTAATGAATCACTAGGCCCACACAGAATATGTGCCTGGAGCTCCTCATAAATCCCCAAGGACTTTGGCAGAGTTGAAATTTTGTCACTTGCAAAGTTTATTTGTTTATTAAACATTTTGGTGAATTTAATTATGCCTTCAGCTACCAGTAACACTGTAGAACTCTCAGCACCATTTTATATCATTTTTCAGCAAAATTCACATTTATAGCTGTGACGTATTTTACATCTATAATTAGAATAAAAAAGTTTACATTTAAATTTTGCGATTAGCAGAATGACAAAAAGTAAATAAATAAATAAATAACATTTTCAAACTACCTTTGCAAATGCCAATATCAATTACCCATGAGTTTTCTAACAGAGGTGTTTATGTATTTGTCAGGTGAGTGTTACCTGACAGAATGGGCTGTGTGGAGCCTGTGTCAGCTGAGCTGTATCAGCGGGGATGATCTGGGATTCGGTTCGATGCAGGTGCGTTCTCGTGCCGTTCTAGCTCAGGAACCTGAGAACCTTCTTCAGTGTCCGGAACAGGAATGGGAAGCCAGGCCATGTACAGGTGAGCCAAAAATCTATGCATTTAGGGAAGACAATACAGTTTCACTGTAAAAATTAGTTTACGAAATTGTAAATAAAACAAACATTATTATAGTTTTCATTATTTATTTATTTTTTTGAATGTATCACTGTTAATACTGTTTTATGTGTTTAAGAGGGCCAGTGTTATGAGTACAAATGGATGATCGGTCCATGGAAAGGCTCGTCTCGACAAGTCTGGTGCCAGCGCTCTGATGGATTGAATGTCACAGGTGTGTTTGAAATGAAATTATATTAAAAGAAATAAAATAAAATAGAATAAAATAAAATATTTTGAATTAATACGTAAGGGCCCGGTTTCAAAGACAGGGTTTAGCCTAAGCCAGGATTAGACCTTAGTTCAATTAGGACATTTAAGTAGAAAAAAACATTACTGGTGTGCATCTTGAGACAAAACAATGGCAGTGACATATTTTAAGATATGTCAGTGCAAGTTACTTTCAGTTAAAACAGCTCAAACATGCATTTTATTCCAGGACTAGCTTAAGCCTGGTCTGTGAAACCAGGGGAAGAAGTTTTATAAATTAATATTTGGATTTTATTTTTTTAACATCCTTTATACTGTATATAGGAGGGCAGAAAATAATGGTGCATCCCCAGGTGCACAAATTGTAGAAGCAGAGATAAGCCACTCTGTATCTGTTTTTGATATTCAATGGAAAATGAAACCATCACTATGACAGAAGCGTCAATATTCTCTCCTCAGAGAGTGTTTGATGACAGACTGTGGTTTGAGATAAAGTTGACGTCCTATGCTGTCATTTCCTGTCAGGAAAGGCTGAAGTGTTCGCTGTCTCCTCTTATACATGTGTATATACTTTATGGAAATAAGCTTTTAATCCATGACAATGTGTCACCCACATTTAATCCCATTCACCATTATTCCAGCTGTCCTCCCATGTTAATGTGTATGTGTGTGTGTACTTCTGCGTCTCTCCTTGTTTTGGTGCAGGCGTGGAAATGCACGGGAACATAGTTGTATACCCCTCACACTCTGCTGAGGAACATCATAAATGCATTGCAATATGAGATTTCATTGAGCTTTGTATGCCATATTAATGCGACTTGGAATCAATCCCTGTGATTTTCAAATGTTTATTTGTCCTCTATGTCGAGCTGTCCAAACTAACCTCGTTCCAGATGGCACACATGAGTCTGGTCACTTGTGATTGGCAGAACAGGGCAGCAGAACTTCATAAGGCTGTAAATCAAAACCTCTGCAGCAACCAGGTCCCTGTTTATGCATATTCATGAGTTATATTAATAAGGTGTGCAGAAGTATGAATATTCATACAGGCTGCTAATTGGTAAATATGTTTCTGCAGATGCTTACAGTTTATAGTGCACCTATAAAGAAGAGATCTTTTAACATGACAATAGCTTTATCATATTGCTAATGATGAATTTTTACATCAAAACACACAAAGAGAAAACGCATTTCCAATTTTCCAAGTATCACCCAGTAAGCAGCTTTCTGATTTACACTGGACACAAATTACACATCTAGTGCTGGTTGTGGCCTTAACAATTGTCATGGTATCTGGCAGCGGCAGTCAAGGGTGGTTCCGGCGTTAGGGAGCAGTTCTATTTCACTGCTCTCATTGTTGATTGGATGTATTGATTCATCCCAGCTTAGAGAAAATAAGACCCCTGCACTGGCCGCCGGCTGCCCATTTCAGTGCTTTTATAGATTCAGTGGATTCCCACAGGCTGCGATTTGTAGAGAGGAAGATGGAAAGTGAGCGAAAGGATGTTGAGATTGTACACATAGGCGACCCAAGAAGAGGATCATTTTTAATTGTGTTGGCTGACGATAAAACGGGCAAAAATCCCATGGATTTACGTTGATGGAGTAGCCCAAGCCTGAATATCTAGGGAAAAGTATATACAGACCGAGAATGGGCTAGAAATTACGTACAAATGCCCTAGTAACCCCTCAGAACACCTTAGCAACCATCCAGAACATCCTAGTAATGCCCTAGAAAACACTCAGAATACCTTGCAACAGGGTCCAGGGGCCCCTAGGGTCCACAAAGTAGGGAAAAAGGGTTCAGAAAATGTAAAATCAAGTAAAATTCAATTAAATTAAATTGTGAATACAGATATATTAAATATTTAATATATTCTTAAATTGTACATCTAACTATGAAAGCCCATTTCCACTGCGTAAGAAAAAATTAATAAATTTTAAAACAAGCCCAATACTTTGTTAATTCATAGTTCTGACATAAAATCATAATTATGAGATAAACATTTTAGATACTAAGTCATAATTATGACAGCATTTCATCATTTAGATTTTTTGTCATAATTATGAAATTGTCAAAATTGACAAAATAAGTCAAAATTATAAGATAAAAAGCCATAATTATGACGTGAAAAAATTGTGAGATAAAAAGTCACACTATAATATAGATTTCCACATCTAACAGCACTAATGGTGGGTAGAAAAAATGCATGTTGTTTAATAGATAACATCTTAATATGAACTATTTTTCTGGATATTTTACATATACATGCACATTTATTTTATTTTATTTTCATTTTGCACACTGTAAATTGGCTAAAATATTCTAGGAAGGGGTTTTTCAGAAAGGGATCATCATATTTGAGGAGTCCATGGCATAAAAAAATGATGAAAACCCTTGCTTTTCCAAATACTAGGAAGGTTTTCTGTCCATTTTTTTCCCAGAAAATGTACAAATCTAGTTGAGTTTTAATTACTGCCTCATGCATATCAGTTAACACAGCAGTAATATCATAACACGAGAGGTTTTAAGCATGATTAAAATTGGAGTAAAGCATGTCTGGCACTGTTTAGCATTACCAAATAGAGAAGAGTCTTTGATGCCTCCTGCCTCCAGGTCAATGCCGTAGCTGAAAATGGGCATGTGTTTGTGTGTGTGAGTGTGACAATGTCATTAAACAATGTTTATATAAAACTTTGAACTCTTTGCCTGCAGGTGGATGCCCGTTGAGAAGCGAGCCGATGTCTGACAGATCATGTGACCCAGCCTGCGTCAAACCTCGCTCCTACTGCACTGAGGTTAGTATGTGTGCATGTTTATGTGTGGACTTCTGCTGAGGTGGGATGCTGGGATGCAGGCAGACTGTAAACAGGGTTGCATGGATATTCAATACAGCAGGATTAGACTTCCTCCAGAGGAGAGGGAGAGAGTCCTGGAATGTATAATGGGAAATGCTATAACATGAAAACCAAGATGCACTGGCTATAATAGCAAGATTTGATATCCGCTTATCAACAGATACCATCTTAATAAGCTTAGATGGAAACTATTAAAGCCACTTTACTGTTCAGTCTTTTTCTGATGAAAAATAACAGTGTTAGCCTTATGCATGGACTTTATCAAGCTCCGTGACCAATGTCAGAGGATATTAAAAGCAGTAACACTGCTAGTGCTGTAGAGATCAGTACAGGCCAAATAAAACACCTTAGGGAGGATAAGTCACTATCAGCTGAGAGCTTTATATTATTCTGGATGGCAGCACTGTTTTGGAGTGGTTGGTGTGTTTGAATGTGTTAATGCTTGCATATGCCTTTGATTTGTAAAATCCTTTAAATAAATGATCAAGATATAGTGTCATAAGTATATAGACGTACAGTTTGAGTGTGGTAAGATGTGGTAGTTTTTGTATGTTGTATGCCATACAAGAAAAAATGGAGTTAAAATGAATAGAGCTACTCTTTATTTTACTTTTACTCCTTTGCAACTTTCTTAATTGTTTTCTTTAATGTCTTATTATTATTATTATTAGTAGTAGTAGTAGTAGTAGGGGTTCAAACATGTAGTGCTGAAACCCTATTGTAATTGTTATTATTATTATAATTATTATATTTTAGGTAATATTTCCAAACATTGTTTGCAAAACTGTTATTAGAACAAATTATTTATAAATAAATGTAATAATCTCTTTTCTACAAGAAAATAGCAGAGTTAAAATGAAAAACTACCATTTATTTGTCAACCTTTTTATTTTATTTTATAATCTCCTCTGCAACTTTGTTTTACTTAATTTAACTTCTTTAATATAATTTAATTTAATTTCTTTCAAATATCATTGTATATTGTAATTTCCAATTAACAATAAAACAGTTATTTGAGAAAATTGGTTTTTAAAACTTGTCTAGAAACTTGTCTCAAATGGTGCACTATACACTAATCACTTACACTATGTTCTCACTTTATGGACTCACTTTATGTGTGTTTCTTTTCCTCACAGACAGATAGAAATGGTGAATATTTCTGGCTTACTGTATATGATCACATGTCAAAAAATATTTAAAATTGCCTGGAAACATTTTATCCACACTCTCCCCTATATTTATATATACAGTATATATATATATGTACATATACAGTATATGTGTGTATGTATATATTTATGTATGTACGTATGTATGTATGTTCGTTCGTTCATTCGTTCGAAGATAATCCTACATGAAATGTAAACATTCATTGTGAGCTACCACATTTTTCCTCCAGCGTGTGATTTCCCCCATTGCATATGAACTGAATGTTATATGCAAATGCAGATTGTGAGCGTGTCTGAATCGGGTCTCCCGCTGTGTAGTGAATCCCTCTACTGTGGGAAGAAACCGACAGTATTCATATCTGTTTCTTCTGCTACATCCAGACCTTCTCTTCTGTGCACGTCTTTATAGATGCAAATGCCCCAGTGCATTCTGGTTTTCCCGTGATCGCATAGATCTGACAAGGGCTGTGTTTACGTGTGGGCCGATTATCCTCCCAAGATTGCAGTGGGAATAAGAGACTCCCTGCAGACGGCAGGAACCTGGGGGTTTCTCCACATATATTTTGCACACAAGCACTCAGGTCTGCAGAACGGTGATGCTCGTGGAGATCCAAATGTCTCGTCAGTGGAAGAACACGTGCTGGGATGTATCTTATCAACACCCACGCTTCAAACATGCTCTCGTAGCCTTCAGGATTCACATGATCTTGATGTTTTTCAGAACAAAGAAAGCACTAAAATAGCACACCTAACACGAAAGGTATCTTTGATCTGCAGAAATATTTTTAGCATTTAACAGAGCTGTTAGCAGAAAGAAAGAACATTGTGACACTGGTAGAGAGAAAGCTAAGCGATGGTCACAGGAGACAGAAAGTGAATTCAATTAGCAGCTGTTTAGAAGCTGAGGGAATGCCGCAAATAGAAAGCTGTCTGTGTTTTTAACAACTGGTATGAGTGATTTTCTGCTGAGTGATTTTATTTCACCTAGCCACACTTTAAACTGACAGCATCAAGTTATTTTGCAGTTTATTCTGGCCGAGAAATGACCACATGCTTCAAGTAAAATTACATGTTGAAACATTTTAGCATGCCATTGATAGACAAATAGACAAAACAATTTAATAAAAATAAGTCCTGATTAAAAAATAAGTTCTGATAGTCTGCCTCTAATATCAAATAAACATGTTAATTGTGTATATTGATATAGTCACTGATATATTATGAATCCCTGTTTAAATGGCTTGTACATTTCTGAATAACTTTACTAAAAAATATAACTTTTTTTAATGTATTTTTCATTTATTTAAAGTACACTACTGTTCAAAAGTGGATAAAGGGGTACAATTTTTAATGTTTTTGGAAAAAAAGTCTCTTTTGCTCACCAAGGCTGCCTTTTTATATCAAAAATGCAGTAAAAACAGCAATATTTTGAAATATTACAATTTAAAATAACTGTTTTCTATTTGAATATATTTTAAAATGTAATTTATTCCTGTGATGGCAAAGCTGAATTTTCTACAGTTTTTTTTTTTCACATGATGCTGATTTGGTGCTCAAGAAACATTTCTTATTATTATCAATGTTGAAAACAGTTGTGCTGCTCAATATTTTTGAATTCCTTGATATATAGAAAGTTCAAAACAACAGCATTTATTTGAAATGGAAATCTTTTGTAACATTATACATGTCTCTACTATCACTTTTGATCAATTTAATGGGTAAGACTTTATTTTAGGGTGTCCTTGTTACACGTTACATGTACTTACTATTATAATAACAATTAATTATGCATAATTACATGCAAGTAACCCTAAACCAAACTCTAATCCTAAACCTAACCATATAGTAAGTACATGTAGTTAATTAATATTACTCAGTACGTAAATGTATAATTACACTGCAACAAGAACACCTTAAAATAAAGTGTAACCATTTAATGCATCCTTGGTAAATAAAAATATGAATTTATTTAATAATAATAATAATAATAATACATTCGTTTCATTTCCAATGTTTAATTGTGTATGCTGATTGTCTGTGGTAAACCATACCCGATTCAACTGGTGTAATGTCTCCCCCTGCAGGCTGGTGTATGCGGCTGCGAGGAGGGTTACACTGAGGTGATGACTTCTGATGGAGTGTTGGACCAGTGCACGGTCATACCGGTGCTTGAGATCCCCACCGCAGGAGACAGTAAGGCTGACGTGAAGACGATCCGAGCCCTCAACCCCACTGAGCCCACCGCCAACCTGCCAGGCCGCTCCGGACGCACCTGGTTCCTCCAGCCCTTCGGACCCGGTGAGTTTATGACTTAATATAACTGAGTGGTTGCAGATGACCTTAGAGACCATGTTCACATGCATTTATATTAAACATCAAGACTAATATTTTCACACTAACTACTGCTAACCAAATTTAACCCTTTTTGTGTATAATAAGACTTTTTGCTTTGCTAAATAAATGTTAAAAACATATACAGTGGGCATGAAAAGTATTTAGGCACAAATGTCTGAATTAAAAGTGAATAGGTTTATTTGTAATATATAAGTAACATAACATTTTATGCACGTTTAAATTTTATTTAGATTGAAATTTTGTAATTTTGTCCAAGCAAATACTTTCTGAGGCCACAGTTATATATGAAGGTCCAAACAGGAAGGGTGTTCCAAACAGGTAGAAAAGAATGGCCGTGCTTTGCGTGTTGTCTTGGTTCTGAACAGCTGAGGTACAGCGGTGTGTACTTGTGTTGATGTGTGTGTGTGTGTGTGTGTATCTGCACAGATGGCAAACTGAAGACCTGGGTGTATGGTGTGGCAGCTGGAGCTTTTGTACTGCTAGTGTTCATAGTCTCTATGACTTACTTAGCCTGGTAAGAACATTTGTTATAACAGCAAATGAGATATTTTGTTCATTCCATAAATCTGCTTTATTCTATTCATAATTTTTTATCATTTATTTATGTTAACCCATGTAAGTTGCTTTCAACTTGACTGCTTCACTTCATTTTCCTAATCAATACTTTTGTCTTGTTTCCCACTAAAAATATAGAAAAAATTTCTAAGATAAAATAAAACTTTAATATTAAAACCTTACTTGAAGTAACGAGTTTAAGGGATTATATTTTAAATTATTATTAATTAAATAAATTCTTATTTTTCTTTTTTCCTGTTTTTTTAAGCTTAAACCTCCATAAATATGGTTAGATTTATGATCTGCAAAAGAAAAAAGAAATAAATAAACTTAATTTAAAATGCATTCTCTAAAAGTTGAGTAAATGAAATTTATTTTAACGATTTTTACACATTTTTCCTATAAGACAAGACAAAAATACTGATTAAGATTTTTTGTTTCTTTCTTTTTCCATTTATCTCACTTCTCATTTGTATCCCCAACCCCTTCATATCTATTAGTTTTTGTATGCTGGCCCGGCGCTCTCCTCCGAGCCCGGACCCTTCCATTACCTCTGTGGTTTGGGTTGGACCCAACGACCAAGAGCTGATATATACCTGCCCTGACTGTCAGCGCATTGAGACTCAGTTCAACTAGAGCTCTCAGCTCAGTCCCTTCCCTCATGGCCTTGTCCTGTGGCCAATCATGTCCATCACCTATGCCTTCTCACTGTCACATGTGCCTTTCTGACCAATCACATGGAGCTGTTTGGTGGAGGTGAGCAGGTAGATCTACTGGAGTTTAGTAGTCTAGCTTTATATACACTGCTAAAAAATAACTTCTTAAAGGGATAGTTCACCCAAAAATTTTAATTGTATCATTTACTCACCCTTATGTTGTTCCAAACCTGTATAAGTTTCTTTCTTGTATGAGAAGATATTTTGAAGAATGCTGGTAATCAAACAGCTGATTGTCCCCATTGACTTCCATGGTATTTCTTTCCCT